CAGCTGCCATTGTTAAAGGAGCAGTTTTGAAATGCCTTCTGCTCTTCTGTCAGAATCTGCCACCAAAACTGTTGTTTACATTCAGCCTTTGACAGTCCATTTCAAAGTGGATTAGGGGATAAGGGCGACCTGAGTGAGTTAATTTCCGTTCGCCATAGTGAAAGGCCTGGGATGATGTGGTTTTTGTCTGAGATTTTGTCTAGAGGGTCATGCTGTTCCTCATTTTTCTGGGGAATGGAATTAGGGCTGTATGATGGTAGAAATGTGTCAGCCGGATAGAGATTCTGCTATTGTGTTTATACCACTATCTGGGGTAAATATATGCGATTTTTACAATTTAGTCTGCTTTTAACCAAAGTGTTAAATTTTGCACTGATGGCAAATGCACACTACCACTCAAAAGTTTGGATACTGTCCTTTTGAACTTTTTACTCATCAAATAATCCTGAAAAAAATGTATCACTGTTTCCACAAAACTATAAGCAGCAAAGCTGATTGACAATAAGAAATGTTTCCTGAGCAGCAAATAAAAAAAAAAACGTATTTTTAAAAAAAAAAATATTTAAAAATATAAAATGGTTATTTAAAATTGTAATAGTTCACAAACTTTTAAAGAGTAGTACATCATTGAGCACATTTAACATTGACATCCTTAACCCAATTATGCTTAAGCCGACAATTCATGTGGTCATGCTAACGTGTTAACCTATTTTCCTTTTTCACAATAAAGTTATAAACAGCTTAAGCTTAAACCAATAGACACAGAGAGATTTTTGCTCCTTACCCCAATTTAGCCCACAATGTAAACACATTAGTCTGCGTTCTGTCGGCTTATTGAAGTATGCATGTGTGATATGTGACAGGAAAGCATCCTTACTGCTGATTACAAACGCTGTGTGGTAAGGAAAAAAGAAAATATATCGCCAAGTTGACTCTTTCTTTACACTAGAAATTATAAAAAAATATCATGCTGAAAGTGGTACAGTCAAAATTCTTCATCTGTAACTGCATATGAATATATGAGTCTAAGTTTCCAGCTGACATGTCAGAATAGTAATCTTTTTTTACATCACAACCGACTCGTTTTTTGACGATTAACCTAAACTCTTGCAAACGCAGTTTACTTGCATTGCTGGGTCATTTGTATGTTAACTGTGACAACCAGTTAATTCAATAGACCCTTTTCAGAGCAATGCCATGACCGGTATGAAATTGAGGTTGTGAGGGATAGACTTACCTTGCTTTCAATTGCATCTGCTGTAAATAGCTGTATAAAGCTCGTATCATGTTATCAGGAGATTTTTTTGGGGTTTTTTTTGTTTTGTTTTTTTTGTCTACTGAAATTCAATTTCTTGGAAAGATATTTTTGCAGCATGTCGTCAGCAGAACAGTCCAAAAACACATTAAATGGTCCAACGGAACTGAATCAACTCTGAACTGACTTCAGCTGAACAACAGCCGAAATGCATCATTTTCCTGTTAGCCCTGTAAAGCTGCTTTGAAACAATCTGTACTGTATAAAGCTATATATGTGCTTTATACAGTAAGTACTAACATCCTAGTAATATGCATGCTAATGAGGAACTGGTTAATAGTGAGAATTGGACCCTAAACTAAAGTGTTACCATTTATTATTACTGATAATTATAATATTGACAAAGGTATGCATATTTAGTTTTTGATATAAATATTTAGCATATACACTCTCAGAAAAAAAGGTACAAAAGCTGTCACTGGGGCTGTACCTTTTCAAAAGGTAAACTTTTGTCCATTTTATGTGCTAATATGTACATTCCATGTGCTAATATGTACATTTCAGGTGCTGATATGTACATTTCAGGTGCTAATATGTACATTTTAGGTGTTAATTAATATGTACATTTTAGGTGCTAATAAGTACATTTTAGGTGTTAATATGTACATTTTAGGTGCTAATATGTGCATTTTATGTGCTAATATGTGCATTTTATGTGCTAATATGCACATAGGTGTTAATATGTACATTTTAGGTGCTATGTACATTTGTAGTGTTAATATGTACATTTCAGGAGCTAATATGTCCATTTTAGGTGCTAATATGTACATAGGTGTTAATATGTACATTTTAGGTGCTATGTACACTTTTAGTGTTAGTACATTTCAGGAGCTAATATGTCTATTTTAGGTCCTAATATGGACATTTTAGGTACTAATATGTACATTTAGGTGCTCATATGTACCACTAAGGTACCAATATGCAGCCTTTGGGTACAAAAGTGTACCTTTTAAAAGGGTACAGCCTAGGGGTGTAACGGTACACAAAAATCACGGTTCGGTACGTACCTCGGTTTTAAAGTCACGGTTCGGTACGTTTTCGATACAGCAAAAAGAAAGAAATGCCAGAGAAATTTCCCATTTGTTTAAAGAAAAAATATTTTGAAATAAGTGTGAGTTTTCCTAGATATTGAAACTTTCAGGTTTATAAATGGGGGTCATCTTTTAAGGATGAACAAATAATGTTTTGGTCATCACATTAAAAATAACATTTAAATATTTATTTATATAATATTTGAATTTTGAAGTGCTGGAAAAAGATGTGTGAAGTACTTGAAAGCATTTCACCATTCCAGCCAAACTGGTTCCAGTTAGTGTTACTATATTAAATCCATGGTGAATGTTGCTGATCTGTGGACGAAAGTATTACTAGTTAATTCACGGCACAATGTTTCTCCCGGTTTCCATGACAGCGCTGTTTGATCTAATAGAGATCTACGGTTAATAACGGAGAAATGTGAATGCTTCTCACTAGATCTCGCAGCAATGTCATTACCTCAGTGGAGAATTCAAATCTTTTCTTTACCGGATCTCTTAGCGCTGTGTAGTAACAGTGTTGCTTGATCGAGATCGGCTCGTGCTTCACAGATGTTGCTGGTCCGAACTGATAAACGATCCATGAAGCACATAACGAGTAGTTTCGTTCTGTTTTCATTACGCTTGCGATTTGATGTTGCGCAACGCTGTGTTGGCCGCGTCAGCACGAATTTTGCCGGCAGGAAAAATGGTCCAAGCAATCGTTCGGTTTGTATGCGTACCGAACCGGAAGCCTCGAACCGAAACGGTTCAATACGAATACATGTACCGTTACACCCCTAGTACAGCCCCAGTGACAGCTTTTGTACCTTTTTTCTGAGAGTGTAAAGTATTTGTAAATACATTTTATCACATCAAAAAATTCAACCGGTTCAATTTCTATATATAATATACAGATCTCGGCAGCACAGTGAGATGCGCAGCCAGATGCCAAGAGTTATTTTTATGTTTTGCAATATAAACTGATTTAAACATGAATACACTGACGATGTAAATATCAAGTATATAGCAAAGGCCAATAACTGTTATGATACATTAAAGGTGCTCACAAAATACGCGTCTATGTGCGCGCTGCTTTACAGTACATCTTTGTTTGTGGTATAGGTTAACAGCCAGCTTTCAAAGCACTGTATGCGACAGCAAATAAAGATCCGTAACACCCACACTTTAAAGAATGTAATTTGTGACTGCGAGCTCCAGGATGCACAGATCTAGGTTATCGGGGGTGTATTTTTTACCTAAGCACATTATGCTTTATGCAGTGATGATAGGCTCAAGCAGGCATCGATATGATAATGTTTGTCCTCCGATGAAACCGCATTCACATTTTATATCACCTCAGAGCCGTGTAGCCAGTCCCAGAGCTTCTATATTTTACCCTCGTAAAGGAAACGTGTCAAACGGATCCACCGTTCCCATGTATCCACCAAGCTCAGGCGGGAAACCACAAGTGTGATTTATATCATATCAATTCTCAAAGCTGCGTTTTATAATTTAATCATTGTCACCGAAGCAATTCACTGGGCTCTGAACCTGAATGTAATTATAAGAATAACTTATCTAATGTTTGACACGTAAAGCCGGACAGTGCACAGCATGCATGCAATTATTGCTTTGATTAACGTCCATCCTAATCAGTGCATAGACCCGCGGGCTTAAATGTTAGTCAATTAAGGTGCTAAACGACTGACCAAGAGGCCGAATATAGAAACAAAACTGTTTACTCTGGGTCATGTTGTTTACAGGGTTTTTAGCACGCCGCGTCTGTCGATATTCTGATAAGCGGAGTTGAGCGGTAGGGTTAGAAGATCTCATCAATTCTTCCACCATAGATATCAACTCAATCGTGAAGAATTCACACCAGTGCAACTCTGAAACAGCTGTGTGTTTATTCAGCAAGACAAGTAATATAAAAATCCAGATTTCATATCCGAAACGCAAGTGTCATAAATATTTTACAATAACAACCACATCCCCCCACCCCCCACCTCTCATCCGTGTCATCTGCGTCATACGGAAGAAATGAGCCAAAATAATAAAATGGTGTCAGAGATGAGGGTTTATCCTTTTATGTTGGGATTTGTATTTGGATGCTTGCTTTGTATTCCGACAGCCAAGGAGAAAACAAGAGACAGGCTTCCGAGATTTGAGGGAAGCGGCCAAGAAGGGCCACTGCATAAAGGCTGATAATTCAAGGTAAAAGTGTGTGGAAATGTCAAAGCGGGCCTCTGAGGAATATCAATGACTGAGAGATGAAACTACAGACTGAGGCAACTGTGTGAACAACAGTGATCAATCCTCTCAGTGTCACAACAGACTGGCCCAGAGTGCTTTGTGTTATCATTGACGTGCATTCGGAGCATGCAAAAAGTGGGGACTGCAAATCGGGCTTGATATATGCTGCACAATTTCTGTTGCATCTGAAGTTCGTGTCACGTTGAATGCATCTATAGATCTGTAATTCTGTTTTTGATCAAGGTTCCTTTCATGTATTTCTTGGCCAATTGAGTATAATGGTTCTGAACGTTGCTTTGATGTTTAAGGGGTTTTTTTTTTAGTCACCGCAACGGCTGATGTATGCATGTGGGAAATCAAAGGAAATCTGTATGAATGTATGGAGCTGAACTCGCTCTTGTCTGTTTTCCTCACAGTCACCTGTCCTATGAATGAGGTGCTGACAGCCTCCACAGGGATAATCCTGAGTCAGTCACCGGGCAGCAGCCTGCCACACTTTGAGTCCTGTTCCTGGGTGGTGAAGGTGGATTCAGGATACAACATCACTTTCACTGTTGAACACTTTCAGACCAGCAGACAGTTTGATGAGCTGGAGATCTTTGATGGTGAGTGGATTTAGCATAGCTAAAGATCCTTATGATCTTTTCCTCTCATTCATGTGATGGTAATCATTATAAAATGAATGTGCAAATGTTTTGGGTTCACCAGTGCTGCATTTATTTGATAAAATTACAGTAAAATCAATTGCGTTGTGAAATATTTTTACAATTTAAAAATTTAAAATAACTGTTCTATTTGAATGTATTTAAAAATGTAATTTATTCCTGTGATGCAAAGCTGCATTTTCAGCAGCCATTGTTCCAGTTTTCAGTGTCACATTATCCTTGCTCAAGACACATTTCGTATTAACAGTTATATTTTGTGGAAATTATGTTACTTTTTTCAGGAAACTATGATAATTTTTTTTTTTTTAAATTCAAAGAACAGTGGGTAACACTTTACTTGAAGGGGTGTGCATAAGACTAACATGACACCTTCATAATCATGACATATGTTTTGAATGTGAAGGAAGTTTAATGCATGTTTGTGACAACTGTCATTAAGTGTTATTCGCTCAATTATGACATTTTTAATGCAAATATGACATTGTTTGAGATGTCTTTGTTATGACACTTTGACATAAGTCAATACATCATAACCTGTCAGTGTCTTTGCCATGACAACTTGCTTTATTGGTTAACATTACATTAAACTGTCAGGTGGTTTGTTTTGACATTGGCTGTCATGAAGCTATTATAACATTTTAATGACAAATTCAATTAGTACTTCTGTAGTTGAGGTCAGGAAAAATATTCATGACACAGTTATAATGCCTCATGACAGCCAATGTCAAAAGCAACCACATGACAGTTTAACTTAATTGATATCAAGTCTTATGCACACCCCTTCAAGTAAAGTGTCACTGAACAGCATTTATAACATTGTAAGAAATGGTTCTAAATGTCTTTTCTGTCACTTTTGATCAGTTTAATGTGTCCTTGCTCAATAAAAGTATTATTATTATTATTATTATTATTATTATTATTATTTTAAACAAATAATTAAATAATATTTTTAGTGGTTATTATCATTATTATTATTTAAATAAATTATAAGTACGTATTAATCATTTATTTGTTGCTGCTGTTTTAATAGAGTTTGAAGAATGAAGTTTAAATCAAGGAACAATCATAACAAAACTAGTTCAGACATACTGTAGTTTTTGCTCACAAAATCAGTTTCTCTTCTCCTCCTTCCAATATAATTACTGATACACACCTCACAGGCAGCCTTGCTGTGTTGAACAAGATAGACAGTTGAAGAGAGGCCAAAAGGGATGAACTTTGCTTTTACTCAGTGAAAACCTTTTGTAAAAGCCAAAGGAAATTGCTTTGGCCAACAGGGGTCTGTTCAGGGCCTGTCTTAGGTCAGCGGCTTTTCTGGTGAAGGTGAACCCATTTAGACTGAGATTACGAAGTGGATTACATGTCAGAAGGGTCATCTCACACACATAGAGGCTCATCACATTTTAGGCGTCATTAAAGTGGCCCACAATTATATCTGAGTCATGCAACTTTACAAAGAAAGAATGGCATGAAGAAGTTTCTTCATTTCAAAATTTTGCTACATGGAAAAAAAAGCAAGATAAGTAAAAAAATAAAATAATTTGAGTTACATATTTTGAAACACAAGTTAAACATATAAACATGAAGATAGTATGAAGTTTAAATATAGATTCAGTTTATACTCAGTTTATAGAAATATTGGGTCAGTCCAGAAGTAACTTATTTATTTGATAAAAATATAGTAAAAACATTATTATTGTGAAATGAACAATTTCACCCAAAGTCATTGTGTATTCTTATAATTCCTGTAGGCCTCAATCAGGTCATGGGGTCTACACGACCCCAATCAACTTTTACTTTAAAAAAAAAAAAAAAAAAAAAAAAAAGGTTCTCTTCATCTCAGTGGAATAAGATTTTGTGACTTTTCATACATTATCTATCTATACACACACACAAAATAAAAACTGCGCTTGATTCGGTTGTTCTGAAGGTATGTAAAAAAATGTTTACACTTCTGGTTTTTGGGGTCAATAATCCCACATTGAAATGAATGGAAAATGAAATGTGAAAAAAATACGACATAAATCTGAAAATTTTTACACAAAAATGAAGGCCTAGTACTAGAGCATAATGTATCATAGAAAAATAACATTTCATATGCTAATGCTAAAGCTAATGGTGTAGTTGAGGAATTATGTGGTATATGGATACAAAAGTACTTTATATCTCCAAAAACACAGCATTACTGAATAGATGAGAAGTAAACAAAAAAAAAAAAGATATATTATTTGTAGGATTGAAAATGTATATTTTTTGTACAATTACTCAATCAATTGTTGCGGTCGTATAGACCCCGAAGTAGCCCAGAAGTGTAAACAGAAAACGAAGACCATTTAAAGGTTAAATAATAATTCATCTAAGCTTAGTGAAAAAAGTTAAATGAATGAGTAAAATAAAACAGCGGGTTCTCACAGAATGGCATTGTGCTAACATGCCTTTTTCGACTGTGTGACTCATCTGGGAGCAGCGTGTGCCACTCCTGAGGGGAGCTGGCATGCTCCGTGCTGATTACGCTTTCAGCTCCCATTGCACTACGAAGCAGACTTTGCTTTTCACAACATGCCATAGCCAGCCAGATCACACTGAATCCCTTTACCTCCCTTCAGCTTGACCCAGACACTAACATGTCTGGAATAACCTTTAATACACAAACACACCCCCTCTGGACTGAATCAGAGTTCAGCTGATCTAAAAGCACCACCAGTGAAGTTTATGGACGAAGCCCTGTCAGTCAACATTAGCCATGAGAGGTGGAGAGGCTATGTTGTGACAGAAACACTCCAGTTGTGTCACTGCTGGTGGTAAACATGTCAATTTAATTTGTAAGATATGTGGCTACTGATAGTGACAGAAAGAGATACGAGTGGGAACACCTTTTTTTCTGCCATGATTAGTTGCCCATCGTAGTGTAAAGATCAAAGTCTCTGATTTACTAAGCAAGTAATAGACAATTATATATATATATATATATATATATATTAATTTTCAAATGTATATTCTATATTATATTTATTTATTCTTATTATCTAATCAGGGCCCTTGCTAAAAATTCAATAGACATTTTGTACCTAGTTTAACACCAGTGTTTAGGGCTGTTCAACCTAAAATTGGGCCTATAAAACATTTCCGATTCTTCCACAATCCTCGGGTTTAGATTTAGATTTTGGGAATATGCATAAAATGCATGGAAGACTTTTTTTTTTTTTTTGACATTTTCTTTAGTGTGTGATGTTGCTGTTTGAGCATTAAATCAATCTGCAAAGTTACAAAGCACAAAGTCACTCCAAAGGGAGTTATTTTCTATATCAGTACACACTGTTTCTGAATTCCCTTAAACGCCATTGTAGTCTTGAATTTTCTTCCTAGAACTTACACATCACAATATTCCTCATTTAAATGATTCCTATCTAAGGCATATGCAAAAAAGGGGGGTCGACGCCTGGATAAATTGCAATAATAGTTTGTTGAAACTTGCGGTTATGGTAAGGGCCATGACATTTCTGAAACAAGCTAGAAGGAGTAAAACCAATCACATCAAACTGATTTTTGGAAGGAGGGTTGTCATAGAGACCAAAGCTAAACAGAATGTTACTGACAGACTGGAAGAGAGGTGCTGCAACAATGTAAAATTTGTGAAAAATAATATAAGTATGCCAACCTATAGACAAAAGCTTTTAGAATCAATGCTTTTAAGTTTCAGAATGCCAAACACTGGTCTGGTCTGGTCTGAGATGTATTACTTTTTGTAGACTTTAAAGAATTAAAGCCTCTTGTGTTTCCCCGTTATTATTCAATTTACGGGACCGGACACCAGTTATCTTGCCAAGAAAGTTTTATTATATACAGTATTATATATATATATGTCAGGAGAGAAACTTCAAGATGTTGTATTCATGCCAGGTCTATGCGTTTCTCCATGTTTCTCTACCCTCTCACCCGGTCATGCCTACATGTTTCTCTACGGGCGGTACAATGTGACATTGCTTTTTATACATCACACAGTCTTACAGCTTCCTTGTAAGGTAACAAATATGTTGCTCTGCGCTTCTCAACTTAGAACGTATATGTCATACGTACGCAACTATCCTTGTTGTCTACATCTGTGATACACTTGCATCAGTAGAAACATTTATGCTGAGTGAACATGTTACATTGCACACATACCTCTCTAAGCAATATATAGCTTTCCCCTGACATATATTATCCTCTCATGCATTCAAACTCATGCTTTTGAAACTCCATAAGATAATACTTTGATTATGAAAACTAATAAAGAATAATAATACAGATACATAATATTTAATAATGAAATAACATTAAAAGATGAAATTTATATAAGAGACAGAGACATTATATAACCTTATGCTTTTCTTTATCCTGCAGGTCCATCAAGACAGAGTCCTCTGCTCATTACTCTGAGTGGGAACTATTCATCTCCTCTCAGTATTACTAGCTCTTCTAGCAAGGTTTACCTTCACTGGTCCTTCGATCACACCTCCAGCCACAAGGGCTTTCGAATTCGCTACTCAGGTGAGCATTTCAAGACAAATTGAATTTATAATTCACCACGACAGAGTTTACATATATCAATTTGTTTAACCATTTTTTTTTTTGCATTTTTATTAGATCCATAGCCATTTTTTTTTATTACTTTAGTTCTTCATTGGTGTCATTATTTTTCTCAAGCCATGAGTTTACAGTTTGAATTTAGACATACCATGAAATAATACTATTGCATGTAAAAACAAACAAAAGTTTGATTCATGAGCAAATGACTCTTATGAGCTGCTTATTTTAATGAATTAGTCACACTCATGAACTTACTCCTCGGTTTGGTTCCCAAATGACAATCTAACGAATGAAATATGGCTTCTTGACTGCTTAAGTGTTTATGACAACTTACTGTTAAAGATACACATTCACAAAAAGACCAATTATGACTCCACACTGCAAAAACAGATTTACGTAGGAAATACTGCCACAAGCTATCAAGACCTGATTGCACAGTTTTGTGAGAAATGGCGTAATTCTAAATGAGTTATTACCTTATAAATATTTAAAAAGTTTCCGTATGCTCCCGATCATTAGCGTTTCAGAAAAATGACTAATCACCCCTTTGTCTGGCTCATCAGGGTCCCTTCTCTCGGCATAAGCTTGTTTGGCTTTTTCCGCTCCATCCTCGCATGATGGATTTTTGATATTGGGCTCTGTTGACAGTCTGGGTTAGCAGCAGCAGCACACACCTAGGTTTGCCTCCTCAATATGGTTTCCCTTCTGTAGAGATACCTTGGTGGGACAAAAAACAGATGGTGGGACAGACTCAAAGCTTTGTTCGGTTTTCTTTCTCAGTCCATCTTTTATCTCCACAGGCTGTTACTTCATCAACTGTAGCAGCTCTATACACTTTTTTTTTTCCTTTTTCTTTTTTAATTCTTGACCTTTTCTTCCAACCATAATATTTGTGAGGTTTGCCGATTGACTCAAGAAATGGAACAGGTTAAAGGTTGAAAATTGATGGGTTTAACCATGAATGGTTGTTTACATTGTGACTATATTAAATGCTAAGCTGGGGCTCTCGACTGGGTAACGCAGACTTAATAAACTAATTGAACGGGAAGGCTAAATTTCCACTAAGCCATCTCTTACAGCCAGACCTCTGTGGCCAACAATCAATAGCAGTCTTTTTAGCCATTTAGAGGGCGGCACATGCTCTATTACATGAGAGTTATGACGCACAAAACAAAACCGGTCTGTATCTCTCTGAGCCATTTAAACCATTAGTGGAGGTTTTATTCAAAGTTTTACTACAGGTGCGTGATGTGTAAACTTCTACATTTGTCCATTATCTATAATCTCCACTGTCAGTGCTAATGGATGAGATGCTGGAAACATTTTATGTTTCAGTGGTTTGATCATTAGAAAGATTTGTGCCTTGTAAAACGTGAGAGTTGCCCTTGCCATTACTGTTATCTTTATTTATTTATTTTTCTTTGTCCTACAGTGAGTTCGCTTTCACTTTTAACAATTTCTGTGAAGAGCTAAAGTCCTATTAAATGTTTCCCACATTTTCTCTTCTGTGTTGATGCATTTTTATTTATTTATTTTAAATGCCATTAGTAGAGCCATGAACCGTGATTTGATACATCAATATATTTGGTCTATTTTCTCAGAACAGAAAGATATTAACTTATTTATTTATTTATTTATTTTTTGGAAAGAAATTCATACTTTTATTCTGCGAGGACACATAAAATGATTAAATGTTGACAGTAAAGACATTTCAGTTACAAAATATTGCCGTTTCAAATAAAATAAATGTCTTTTAGGATTTGGGACTTCAAGAACATCAGAGTTTACACACACAAAAAAAAATAATAAATTAATTAATTAAAATATTAAGCATCACTACTGTTTTCAACATTGATCCAGGGGCCGGAGTCGGATCCAGATCTAAGGGATGGAGTTGGGTAGGTTTAGGGGTGGGTTTAGGGATCAGTGGGTGGAGCTCGGTAGGTTTAGGGATCAGGGGGAGGAGCTGGGTAGGTTTAGGTATGTAAGGTGGGAGGAGTTGGATATGGATCTGGATCATGTGACACTCGGATCATATGACACTGAGTATTGACGCTGAATTCAGCTTTGCAAGCACAAGTTTACATGACACTGTAAATATATTAAAATAGAAAACAGTTAAATTGCAATAATATTTATTAATATAAATATTTATTTATATAATATTAGTGTTTTACTAGATTTTTCATCAAATAAATGCAGTCTTGGTGTGACTACTTTAAAAAAAAAAAAAAAAAAACATTCGAATCTACCAACCCCAAACTTTAGAAGTTGTGTATATCTTCTGCAAGTGTGATGACCTTTAATCACAGCATGCTATAAAAACCCATTAATGCTTAGGATTGTTAACATACATCTTTACTTTCTAACTTCTGTACCATGCTCATGTTTTGGGCATCTTTGACTTTCGCATAGTCTAATGCCATCAGCGCAATGTTTTTGATATGCCTGTAATGTAGCTATAGTTAACAGCTGTTCAGCTTTGAAAAACACATCTTGAGACCCCTCGGTTGTATTCCAAGTTATTGTCATTTATTGCCATCTAGCTGTTTTCAATGCCAGAATGTGTCCTGTGTGAGCGGTCCCTTACTCTGCTAAAGGAAATTATCATTGCTAGGCATTGTGTTGGACTGAAATTAGCATTGTTGTAATGGAATTTAAATGGAAGTTTGGTAAGAGCCTGTTCATCTAATCCTGTCATTGGCAACACAAGGGCATATACATAAGCAGCTGCTTACACTGCAGAAAATCATTTTCTTAATCACTTTTTTCTCATCCTTTATAATGTGTGTCTTGAATGTATCTTGAAATAATTTCCTGTGCAATTTGGCTTCTCAAGTTAACTTTTCTTTTTTAAGGGCTACAAAAATACTTGAGGGCCTGCCTCACTCCCATGACATAATTTCCGGGAAACCTCCAGTAATCTTACACTAATTAACTTACATTAATTAAATAGTCCACGGGGGTAACTTCCTTAAACCCTTGTATTAGGGCCAGCAAGCCAAATCTGTTTACCTGGATTACATGTTACATGTGAACTTGTGAAACAGATAGGACTTTAATGTGTTCATAGTGATTAATAATGCGACAAATTGCATTCCTGCCCCATTTCCTCCTAATTTCCTCCATACCTCCTTTTATATCATGTGGGTATCATTACCGGCATTCTTTTCCTTGTTTGGTGTGCAACAAGAACATTCCTACTAAAATCTGATTTGTGCCACATGATAGAACATGGCCAGGATTGCATATGCCAAACAGCATAACTTTGTACAATGACTCTGAATTACCGTTTAGGCGAACAAAGTGTACACAAAACGATTTTGTTATTGTTTCAAATCCATCATTTATGACCTTCCACAAATTCCTACAATCCAATGCCATGCATCTTTTTTAATCAGTCCTCTGCTCTGAGCTGCATTAATGTCTGTTATTTCCAGTAAACAGGATGAGGAATCGAAAAGCAATAAAATACGCACTGGAGCAGGAGCTTTCACAGATGGATGCATTTTTGACTTCTAGCTGTGTTTAAATCTGTATGTTCTACAGCGGCGTACTGCAGTACTCCGGAGCCTCCCGTGAACGGCTCGGTACACAGCCTGACGGGCACGAAACTGGGCAGTACCTTGCGCTTCAGCTGCGACCGGGGCTTTAACCTGATTGGCCAGACCACCGCCACCTGCACCCGCACCCCACAGGGCATCCACCAATGGAACGCTCCAGTGCCGCTTTGCCAAGGTGAGTCTGAAAATCTTGTCCAAAACTCCTTGGACAAAGTCTGGAGGCGATTATCCAACCTCTCCTCCCTCCTCACTGAACTCTCTCTGCAAAAGACCAGCGCATCCGTGGCTAATTCTGTATTCCATCAATGTTTAGGGCTTGGCTGCATCTGTCAAATTGCTCATCACAATAAATGGGTTAGCCAGGAGCCATAGCTGCGAGACTATTGCTAATGTGCTGTCCGAGGGGAGAGTCTCTTCAGAAAGAGGCAGTTATCATCCACTAAAGCAGGGGCCTCCACGGGGTCCACTGTTTTGCAGTCTCAGAAGTGTTGTGTTTTATCACCACTTCCTGACTAACAAAGGCCTCACCTGTGAGCGGGGTGGATGTCTATTTGACAGGGATGGTGTGAGATGCCTTAGGCCGAGAGCCAGAGCACTCCCTCTGCTTTATTGAACACATTGAAAGGTCTTTTTTCATATTGAGAGGTGGGAGTTTACTCTGGATTTATTGAAAGTTGACAAGCATGGATATTAAATCCATGTATCAGTCCTTTGAAAGAAGAGGTATTATAATAACTTTCAAGAATGAACTAGGCTCTTTATAGGCTTTAAGTCCTGAAATCAGCAATATTCACCATGGATTTAATGTAGTAACATTAACTGTAACCATGGAAGTTTGGCAAAAATATAGTCAAATGCTTTCAATTATATCAAATATCTTTTCCCAGCACTTCAAAACTCAAATATTACGTTTTAACAAATATTATACATTATTTGCTTATCCTTCAAAGATTACCCCCATTTAAAACTAAAAGTTTAAAGATTTAGGAAAACTCACATTTATTTATACTCACAATTGTATCGTATCGAACCAAACCGTGAATTTTGTGAACCGTTACACCCCTAATATATATATATATATATATATATATATATATATATATATATATATATACATATATGAAGAGTTCTGATGCAAAAGCCTCTAAGTGCCATTTGAAATTTTCTTCTAGAATGATCATTTTTATCAAGCTTGTATATTTAAGTTCAGTAATTTCACTTAAATGGCAATTCATAGGTAATCTTCATTGTCATTTAAGTGAAATTACTGAACTTAAATATATAAGCTTGATAAAAATGATCATTCTAGAAGAAAATTTCAAATGGCACTTGAACTCTTCATATATATACACACACACATTTGGTTCAATGTTTTACCATCTATGACATTGACATTCCTATATTTAAGTGTGGCTGAAGTGTTTTGGATTCTCAGATGGCTGCTATGTGTTTCCTATAGCCCATGTCCAGATGTAATCCAATCTTAGATTGTGCCTGTTGATCTCTAGCTGCTCTTGTTTACCTTCCCAGAACTGCTGCAAGCCTGTGTTTGCAGAGTCGCAATGCTGCTTTTGGAGTGTTCGCTGAGTGTGTTTAAACAGAGTATTCTCTGAAGTATGATGGCAAAAAGAAATATCCAGTTTTATTGGGGTTTTGTGAGTCCATTTTGAGTTCTCTCCTTCACAGTCGTTTCCTGTGGGATGCCCATTGCTCCAGTGAATGGCACTGTCATCGGACAGCACTTCACTCTCGGCTCTAGAGTCACATTCTCTTGTAATCCTGGTTTCCGATTGGCCAACGCTCAGCCAGTGTCAACACTTTGCCAAGAGTCTGGGAGGTGGAGCACAATGGAGACCCGCCCTCGCTGCGTCCGTGAGTTCATGAGTGGAACCATCAGTTTACTGTAAAATCAGATTTGGGTAAAAGATAGAAAAGTGTATTGTCTTTAAAATATTTGGAATTAATGAAAATCTTTTAATTGAGAAATAGAATTGAATCTAAAAGTCTTGGGCGACATTCAATCTTGTCTTAAAAATTTAATTTTAAACATGGAAGTCATTTTTTTTTTTTCAATCAATCGATTGCAAATTTTGATTAATTTTAAATTTGGTCCCCCAGCTGTGACCTGCCCTGACATCGGCCACTCAGCTGTGGATCATGGGAGGTGGAGGCTTATTTATGGCATGCAGAATAAATACGAGGCCATGATGATGCTGACCTGTGACCCTGGATACTTCTACAAGGGTCAAAGGGTCATCCGTTGCCAAGCTAACGGCACCTGGGATTACCCTGAGCCGAGACCATCCTGTGAAAGTGAGTGCCATATCAAGACATGCTTTGAGTATTTTCAAATTATGATTTTATTTAGGATAAGTGTTTTCTGGAATGGATGGATGAATGCATTTTTAGAATTTATGATTTAAAAATTGGTATTTAATTAAAAACCCCTCAATACATTCCAAGTAAAGCCTGAAAGGGGGCAATTTCAGTACTTTAAACTGAATGTCCTGTATTAAACATTCCAATGTGTCTTGTATTCAGAATTCCCCAAAAAATAAATCACTCTTCATCTGAATGTACCTAGTCATTTCCTGTGGTGACCTTGGAACCCCACCGAATGGGAATAAGATAGGAACATTAACCGTGTACGGAGCGACTGCCATCTTTTCCTGTAACACGGGTTATACTCTGGTGGGCTCCAGAGTGAGAGAGTGCATGTCCAATGGCCTGTGGAGTGGAGCTGAAGTCCAGTGTCTTGGTGAGTGTTTTCACTTCCCTAAATAGAGAAAATGTAGCCATATGTGCTCTAGGTGAGTGTGATTTCACCAAGAACAACATGCTCCTGAATCTTTGTTGATCCTGAAACAACAATCCAATCAAACAATTAGATTTAGGGATAAGTTCACAGTTTATGTCAAGGCTTAGAACCAGGGTTAGGTGCTTCTACATCAGGGTTATTCACCTATCATTTCCCTCTTATCTTAGGGATAAGTTATGGGTAGGGATAGGAATGCTGTTTCAGGATCAACAAAATATGTTGATCCGGGAACATTTCTTACTTGTGTTACGACACAATATCGAACCCCCACAAAGAGTCGTAACACTTGGCAAAATCACTTTGCAATGTTTTCTTCAACAGCTGGACACTGTGGCTCACCAGAGCCTATTGTGAACGGCCAGATCATCGGTGAGAACTACAACTACAGAGGCAGTGTCGTTTACCAGTGTAATCCTGGATTCCGACTCATCGGCGTGTCCGTTCGCATCTGTGAGCAGGACCACCGCTGGTCCGGAAAGACTCCCGTTTGTGTCCGTAAGTGTTGCTTAAGCAACTATCTGATTTGACAGTTGACAGTTGTATGCCGAAATAATCATTTTAATGGCGTTAATATGTTGCTCTGATTTTCTGTAGCTATCACCTGTGGACATCCAGGCACCCCTGCTAATGGTGTGACTCAGGGAACGCAGTTTAACCTGAATGACATTGTGCGTTTCGCCTGCAACCCTGGTTATGTTCTACAGGGTGTGATCAATTCTCACTGTCAACCCAACGGCCAGTGGAGCAACACTCTACCCAGATGTAAAAGTAAGTCCTGTTACTTCCTCAGCGGCACTCCAGTGTGTGTGTGTGTCATAGTGCTGCGTCACTTTAAAATAACTTGACTGTTCTATTCAACTCAGTTCTATAACTCAGCATGGTGTAGAACAAGAGTACATATTCTAATATATCTTAAATGAAAAATAACAGAAGTTAAACTTTTACGGAAAACAGCATTTAAAGGATTTGAAATAAGGAAAGTAAGGGTTTACATTAAAAGACTCAGCATGAAAGCTTGGACACATTAGTGTATTTTTGCGTCAAATCTTGCTTCTATTGTCTATAGTTAGTAGTGTAGCAATGTATGAACCAAGCCACTTTCTATTGGTCAACATGGCAAATTCGCTTGACCAACTTGAATCCATTGCGGAATCTCCTTGAGGAAATTATTCGCTCTCACATGACTGGATTTCACTGCAAAGTAAAAGTTGCATTGTTTAACGACGTACAGCTATTATCACTAGGGTGTACTCACTTTTGTTGCCAGCTATTTTGACAATAATGGCTTTATGTTGAGTTATTTTCAGAGGACAGTAAATACTGCTATACGAGCAGCACATTGACTACTCTAAAATATATACAAGTTTAATTTCTATAGTATTGTCCCTTGAGAAGATATACTAAAATGTTTGCTGAAATGTGTACTCACTGTTGTATATAAACAGTGTGTATTGTAAATTTGTGATTTTTTTTTTTTTTTTTTTTGTGAAAAAAAATTGTAAATCTACTGTATAGCATCACTCTGATCAATCTAATTTACCTTGCTTGAATCTTTAAAGTTGCATTAATCGTCCCCTCAATCCTACCCTTTCTTTAGATTGTAAATGTGTGTTTACTCTGACTGAGGAAGTTGAAGTGATCTGATCATATCAGCCATGGTCTCCTCTCCATCATAGTCTTTCATTAGCACAGAGCGTGGGAAGATGCCCGTTTAATGGCACAAAAGGAGCCGGTAAAAATGCTATGAGCTCCAAGCTGCATAAATAATTTAGTAGGCCTCTGCACAGCCCTGCTAATCAGCACCAATTTGTGTCGGAGCGAGCCACTTCTATCTACAAAATGGCCTTCTAAACCACACAGATAAGTTGAATAGACTTAGATCTGCAGATAATTGAACCACCTCTCCTTAAAAATTGCCACTGGCCAGCGGGAGCATCAATTTTAATATCAAATCATGGCCAAGCACAAAAAGCAGATTGTTTTCCTTTGTTCTTTTCTTTTTATTGATTTTATTTGTGTATTTATTTCGAACAGCTAATAGCATTTTAGCTAAAAAATCAAGCTAGTATGTTTACCTTATAATGTTGGCTTCATAGAAATGGCTTTGGCAGGCTCTGTTAAGAGCTATTAAAGGCATTAGCATGCATTACTACCCTGGAAAGTCTAATTTTGTTGACAAGCTGTCCTTAACGGAGAGATTTTAAGGGAATGTTGCTGGTCTCAAATGGCAGAAGGGACACTCTGGAGTCAAATAATGAAGCCTGTCCTCTTCATTTGGCTTCACTGTTTCCCCATAATTGCACATAAAATGTCACCAGAAGTGTGTTCAACTTAATTCGTTAGAATCAGTTTAACATAATAGCCCATCTTCTTGCCTTGGCTTGCTCAATTGCACTTGCACTGTTATGTACTTTTTGCTTTCTTCCAGTGTGTGAATGAATAGAAATTACTGCTGATTTCTTCTTTAGGTTCTCCATCATGCCCTTCCGTCCTCTTTTTTGCTTATAACTAACACACCACCACTTTCTCTCCATCTCTTCTCTCTGTAAGCCCTGTTCATGTCCTCAGACAGCCCCTACACCAGCCGTTAATGAAGCTTCTGTTTGTGTTTATGTGCTTCCAAATATTTGCAGATAGTTTTCCAGAAGCCTTTAATCTTCTTCAAAAATCGCCTTTTTCTGGGTCATTTTGTGTGGTGAAGAGTTAAGGTGGAGACTTTTGACTAAAAACGAATTGTGCCCTCTGGCAGCGACATTTTTTACACGAATCACTAAAGGAATTGCACAAATCAATTAATGGCACAAACAAGAAAAATGTTTGTGTTTGAGGGGAGGAGTATGCATTCACAATTTCACATACAAACACTCTATATCTCCTGTACAGTAAGTCCCTTAAATATTACCAAGAAATGAAACAACATTTTTTTTTTTTAAAAAAAGGTATTTTATTATTGTGACGGCAAAGGTGGAATTTAGCATCATTACGCCATAATCTTTCAGAAATCATTCCAAAATGCTGATTTAGTGCTTAAGATACTGATTAAGCTCACTGTTGAAAACAGTGCTGCATATACACTACCGGTCAAAAGTTTTAGATAGGTAAGATTTTTTTTTTTTTTTTTTAATGTTTTTAAAAGAAGTCTCTTCTGCTCACCAAGGCTGCAATTATTTGATAAAAAATACCAAAAAAACAAACAAAAAAAAGTAATATTGTTAAATATTATTACAATTTAAAACAGCGGTTTTCTATGTGAATATACTGTATAGTGAAGTGTAATTTATTCCTGTGATCAAAGCTGAATTTATAGCATCATTACTCCAGTCTTCAGTGTCACATGATCCTACAGAAGTTATATAATATGATGCTCAAGAAACATTTATGATTATTATCCATGTTGAAAATAGTTTTTTACATTTTTATTTCAGGATTCTTTGATGAATAGAAAGTTCAAAAGAACAGAATTGATCTGAAATGGAAAGCTTTTGTAACATTAATCACTACCATTCAAAAGTTTGGGGTCAGTAAGAATTTATTGTTTTATTTTTGGGGGAAAAAAATTAGAAAATACATGTATTCCTCAAGGATGAGTTAAATTGATCAAAAGTTACAGTAAAGACATTTATAATGTTAAAAAACATTCTAATTTAAATAAATGCTGTTCTTTTGAACTTTCTATTCATCATAGAATTATGGGGGGAAATGGGACACTACTGTTTTCAACATTGAAAATAATCATTTATGTTTTTTGAGCATAAAATCAGCATATTAGAATGATTTCTGAAGGATCATGTGACACTGAAAACTGATATGTAATCAGCAGCAACAGTAATGATGTTGAAAATTCAGCTTTATGTTAATATATTCAAATAGAAAACAGTCATTTTAAATTGTCATAATATTTTACAATATTAATGTTTGTCATTTTTTTTTTTTTTTCATCAAATAAAGCAGCCTTGGTGAGCAGAGGAGACTTCATTTAAAACATAAAAAATCTTACTGATCTAAAACTTTTGACCGGTAGTGTATGAAATATAATGTTGTTGGTAACATTATAAATATCTTTGCTGAATAAAAGTATACATTTATTAAAAAAAAAAAAAAAAGAAAAGTTTATTGACCCCAATCTTTCAAATGCCAGTGTATTTCTCAACCGTATTCATCATATTTCTCTTTATTTCTTCTTTCTATCCTGCTTTCTCTCGCCCACTCTAGTTGTGAACTGCACTGATCCGGGACATGTGGAAAATGGTGTCAGACAGGTCCTGCCCAGCGGGCCTCATCGTTACAGTTTCCAGACTGCAGTTTCTTACAACTGTAACCCAGGATACTACCTGCTGGGCACCAGCACTCTGAGCTGTCAGGGAGATGGCACATGGGACCGCTCCCTACCCAAGTGCCTCTGTGAGTCATCTTAGTCTGATAAATCATCAATCAAATAATTCCACAACCTGCTTTCCTCTGATTTGTTTATACATGTGATCTGACATTGTGAACTCTAGTTAAGGTTTGTCTGTTTTTCTGTGTGCTGCAGTGATTCTGTGTGATCGTCCCAGCATGCCTCCGTATGCACAGATCTCGGGGGACAGACGCACTGTGGGCTCTGTTATCCGCTTCAGCTGCATCGGCCAGCGCAGCATTGTGGGCAATACCACCCGCATGTGCCAGCTGGATAGCCAATGGAGCGGCTCCCTGCCACATTGCTCTGGTACTCTAAATCTTTTCTCTACTCAACATGCATAATTTATCCACACAATTACAATTTTGCTTAATGGTTTACATGCTCCTTGCATCATCTGTTTTTTTTTAGTACCTTGTTATAAAACTATTGTTTTCGGAATATATATATATATATATATATATATATATATATATATATATACACACAAACAAGTCTACCTAGTATTATTTCAAAACATATTGAGGTCCTATTTTTTGTCCTGAGCAGTGAAACTGACAAAAATCCTTCATATATTGCAAGATCTTTGGTTTCCCAGCATGCTCTGCACATTTGAGTGATCTTCTTCGCATTGACAATACACTTTTAGAAAAAAGGTACGAAAGCCGTCACTGGGGCTGTACCTTTTCAAAAGGTACACTTTTGTCCATTTTAGGTACTAATATGTACATTTTATGTGCTAATATGTACATTTTTGGTGCTAATATGTACATTTCAGGTGCTAATATGTACATTTTAAGTGTTTATATGTACATTCTAGGTGCTAATATGTACATTTTAGGTGCTGATATGTACATTTCCGGTGCTAATATGTACATTTCAGGTACTAATATGTACATTTTAAGTGTTGATATGTTCATTTTAGGTGCTAATATGTAGATTTTAAGTGTTGTTATGTTCATTTTAGGTGCTAATATGTGCATTTTAAATGTTGATATGTTCATTTTAGGTGCTAATATGTACATTTCAGGTGTTAATAAGTTCATTTCAGGTGCTAATATGTACATTTCAGGTGCTAATATGTACATTTCAGGTACTAATATGTACATTTCAGGTACTAATATGTACATTTTAATTGTTGATATGTACATTCTATGTCCTAATATGTACATTTTAGGTGCTAATATGTACATTTCCGGTGCTAATATACCATTAAGGTACCAATATGCACCCTTAAAAGGTACCTTTTTTTCTGAGAGTGTACAATGTTGAAATCCAGCTTTACCACTCAGGTAAGCAAGCACTTAAACACAACTATCACAAAGGTTGCAGTTACTGACGTTCAAATATGCTGCGATATTAAGAAGGCTATGCAAACTTTTGAACAGGATAATTTGTGTAAATTGAGTTAAATATTGTTTCTTATGGAGTATATGCAAATATGATATGCTGTGTCTCCAGGGCAGTACTAAACCAAAGTACTAATGAAACAGTTTTTTTCCTTATTTAACTCTCTTATGTTTTTGTAAATATGAAACAGATGCACAAATTCTCTCACAAGGGAGTATACACTTGAAAAGAAGGGAATATTTTTTCCAATTTAAATATATATATACAATACATTTGAGATGACACCATCTCTGGGGTCTTGTAAGCGTGTGAGATCATGAATCAATGGCTTCAGGATTACAGCCTAGATCAGTGGGTGGCAATATTGCCATCTATGCAGCGTCCGGAAGGGCGACGAGTTTGTCCCCCCCATAAACTGCTTTAATCTTCTCATATTGGGCTTGGCGACACAGACTCCCACATGCCTGCCAGGTAATGAGCTGCCCTGCTCCACTATAAACACATCAGACCATTGCAATCCTCAGATATGCCAGAACAGAAAAGCTTCATTCTTGGCTGTAAAACCACTGACAGGTTTATGTCACAATTCATAACATTCACATTTCTCAAAAGATTGCGGGTTCTTTCTGCCAGCTGTCAAAAATTGTATTGTATTTTTTCAAAATTCTGCACATCTAGGGGTTAATAACTGGCCTGTCTGTGTGAGTTTCTTAAAACGATATGCTGTATACTATTAATTCTTTAATATTTACTTTGCCCTTCACCAGAAAACTCACCATTCATAATGAATTAATGATTGTTTGTTGATCATTACCGGAGGATATACAGAGAATTGAAAGATAATTTGTAAATGCATCAGTGGATCAAAATAAGAGGATTTAGTGAAGAACATCATGGAGTGCACACGTCGCCATTATGAGCGGGGAAATTAAGGGAAATTTTCTGTCCCTGGTGCTTTCTTATCCAAAGTAAATTATCACCTAAACCAAGCCACTGTGATTTCTCTTTTTCATCTCATATGCCAGGTCTACCACTGAGAGTTGTTCAATAAATATGAATGAAATTACTCATCATCTTGTGTAAATCTCAGTTAACCTCTTTAGATAAAAACCTAATGTAATAGAGAGCAAGTCCTGCAGGGTATCTAGATTGTGGTGTTCCATTCATTCTCTGTCGAAGTATCTATATTGGACTAGTAGGGTATTTTTATTGTAGATGGACATTAAACTAAGAGTTTAACCTTTTTTAAACCTGACCATTCTCAGTTGTAACTGAGTTATGGTCTGGCAAAGCGTCATAGATAAATCATTTCCAGAGGGGCGTCACCAACGGACGTCGCAGGCAAACCTAAAACTAATCAGAGCGATGAAGGAGATGACGTATGCAAAGAAATCCAAATTCAAAAAAACTTTATTATCTATCAACCAGTGATAGAAAATTGTCTTTGGTTAAAAAGGCTAACATATACACATACAAAACACATACATCACAATTTAAAAAATTGTTACAAGGAAAAAAAAAAGTAGGCCTGCCTTACACTATACACAAAACAAAAGGCTCAAGCACAATATACTGTATACTATAATAAACATCTCTGAGGGTCGCCCTAACATTTCTGATTGGTGCCGACGGATTGGAAATAGGCTTGAATGAGCTCTTTGCCAGACTAACTTTTAGAGGAAATCTAAATTTGTTGGAAGTTGTCTGGGTTTTCCCTCATTTAAACTCATGGTACTTCAGGTGTATAGACAACTCTATTGATTTCAGTAGGAGAAATTTAGTTTGAGTTCTGTCCATTGGGTTATGCAAGCTGTGTCCAAAAGTGTTCCCTTAACCCTGTATTGTCCTTTGAGCACAATATATATATTTTTTTACATTTTATGTGATTTTTTTTTTTTTTTTTACAGTTTTGTTTTTATTTTCTTTTTTTATATGGTATTTCAGTTTTTCAAAACATTATTATAAATGTGCAATTTTTTTTAGGCCAAACTAAAATGAAAAAAAATAAATAAATCAGTATTGATGTAGGGATATACCTATTGTTTTTTTTTGTTGTTTTTTTATAATTAGTATTTTATTGAGTTTTAAGCACCACTATTACATCATAAACAGCATTGTAGTCAATATCACAATTGACATCTTAACATATCCCATAATGATGCTACATTTTTAGATAACAATAAAACAAAAAATAATTAAACTAAAAGAAAAAAAACAAAGAAGAACAAAAACAAAAAAAATAACTAAATAACTAAGTAAAGTTAAAAAAAAAGGGGGGGGGGGAGAAAAATTAACAAAGAAAATCAAATGAGTCAAGTGTATAGTTTTACAATAAACACCATGCTCTCATCTAGTTGCAATACATTGAACATATTTTCCCCATTTCGCCATATATTTTTTTGCCCTATCATTAATATTGAATTACATTTTTATATACGATTGGATATACCTATTGTTAACACTGTCATAACTATACCAGAGATTTGAGACACCGGCCAAGAGTCCAAGTGCTAATTAGTCTTCATATGCGTGTTGTTTCAGGGGATTCTGCCGGTTTGTGTGGAGACCCTGGCATTCCAGTGCACGGGATCCGTCTGGGAGAGGAGTTCTCCGTAGGGAGCGTTGTACGATTCAGCTGTGAGCCCGGCTACATTCTGAAGGGGTCCTCAGAACGGACCTGCCTGGCTAACGGGAGCTGGGTGGGCATCCAGCCTGAATGCCATGGTAAGATAAATGAAACCTGGGTTTTTGCAGAAGAATGTGGATGAAAACTCATGATTAATTGCTTCTGCCTCTGGAAGATTCTGCTTTACCCCAAAATTGTAGCCTATGCAAATTTCTGAGACAGCGAGTTATTTGATTCTTCACACAAATTCCCTTGTGTTTTAATTTTGTGCAAAACAGGAGAGGGAGATGGAGACAGACAGACAGACTGAGATAGAAAGTGGTTGATGAGAAGTTATTTTCATCTAGAATATTCCCGTCTGTTCTCTGCTGTAGCTTTAAAGTGGTTCAGTACACCCGGGGTGTACACGTTACACTTCCACATGTACCGTGTTTTCTTTTTCCCAACATGCTGAACACCATCCAGCCATGTTGCCCAGAAAACTGTGCCGACCCCGCTGGTCCCCTGGACGCTGTGCTGCTGTGTCCACACTCTCTCCTTCTCTCTTAAATAGCATTATTATTCTGCTCGTGTTGGTTTGTGTAAAGTGCCTGCGGAGTCAGGCTGACACTCCAAAGAAAGGCATGTCAGAGAAGCAGAAAACCCAGGTTAATTACCCGTGTGGAGATGCCTGCCATTTTTCTTACTCCACTTTTTTAAACACCAGCCTTTTGTTTCATCTCACATCTTGTTAACAGTCACCCCTAAACATGTGTGATATTTTTAGTTTTGCGTCTCCTACAAAGCACACTGTCATCTGAATCCATTCCTACCTCTCAAATGCCCGCGGGTTGTGCGTTTGAAATGTGTGTGTGTCTAAGTTTGTGTTTCTTTATTGATTTGACCCTTGGGCTATTGTTATCCATGCCAGTTCAGCAAACTGTGGTGGCTTAAAAGGTGGATTCTCAGAAAATGCCGACGTTTCAAGAGAGAAAATCAATAACAGCCTAAACCCCCTCTCATAAATTTACATCCTGAACACAACATAAAAAGCTTATTGTCTTGTGCAAGGGGAGATCAAGAAGACTTTTTTTTTTTTCATTTATGTCCTCATCACAAATGTTTGATGTCTCAGCATTCACTTATATAAGGAAATTGACCATTATTTGACATACTGTATAGTGGACATCACCTACTGAGCTGTGATCAGTAGTGTTTTCTTGCTGCTGCAAAGTCTAAATATAAAAAGTTCATAAAAGTCATAATACTATAGATGAAGGAGAAACAGTGAGTGTTATTTGCCATCGTGGCTATTTACCTGCAGCAAAGTGGCAAATGCCGGTCTATCTAGGCTCACAAAACCATTCAGGCTCGGAGTCACCACGGCGAGTACCACTGTATGTACATGGAGACGTGTCATAAATTATAGAACAGTTTCTGACAGCTAAAATGAGCTTCTCAGTCATCTTGCTTCTGTCGGACTCGGCACTGAAGAGTGACGGATCACGTGCGCTCCACTGACCAAACTCCTACTGGTTGTCGCTTCCGAAAGTTGCTCTTCATTTGCATAAAGTTGATTTATGCACACACTTTATTTTGATAGTCCACTTTAGACATCCTACTAACTATAAGTAACTTTCAACTATATGTCAACTAACCGTCATTAGAGTATTAGTAGATATCTGCTAACACTTTATTTTGTTGGTCCCCCAACAGACATTCAACTGACTAAGTAACTTGGCGACTACAAGTAAACTTATTCGCCTAACACTTAAAGGACAACTCCGGCGCAAAATGAACCTTTGGTCTAATTACACATTGTTACCTAGTCAACCATTATCTGAGATTTGTTTTCATGATTGCCGAATGTAAATAGTTTTATCTCTAAAAACACTTAGTCTATAACGCTAGTATAATGCTAGTATATAGGGCATAGAGTAATGACAAATAAAAATCGCTTGTTATTACCACTAACAAGGCTCAAAATAGCCCGACACTAACACGACAGCATAATAAGGGTCCCTACATTCAAACCGAAGCATTGAGAACTTTGTCAGTGTCCATACAGTTAAATAAGAAGATATGTTATACACACCGTCAACTTCGCGAATACAGGAAGAAGCCATCTTTGAAAAATAGTCTCTACCAGTCGATCTACGAATGCCGATCCATGTGCGCTGGTGAGATGTGAATAAGGTGATAAGGTGAGCGCGAACATTAGGCTACGTGTACATATTGAAGAGAAGAAAACGGTTCGTGTTTGTGTTTCTTCCGAAAACAACGGACCATATGAGATTCTGCACAGTTCAGCGCACTTGGATCGGCGTTCGTAGATAAAACTGGTAGAGACTATTTTTCAAAGATGGCTTCTTCCTTTATTACCGAAGTTGACTGTGTGTATAAAATATCTTCTGTATGGACACTGACAAAGTTCTCAATGCTTCGGTTTGAATGTAGGGACCCTTATTATGCTGTCGTGTTAGTGTGGGGCTATTTTGAGCCTTGTTAGTGGTAATAACAAGGGATTTTTATTTGTCATTACTCTATGCCCTGTATACTAGCATTATACTAGCGTTATAGGCTAAACTGTTTTTAGAGATAAAACTATTTACATTTGGCAATAATGAAAACAAATCTCAGATAACCGTTGACTAGGTAGCAATGTGTAATTAGACCAAAGGTTCATTTTGTGCCGGAGTTCTCCTTTAACCATAACCTAACAGTCTGACAGTCTACTATAATATACTAATACTCAAATGAGAGTTAGTTGGCATGTAGTTGAAAAGTTACTTACAATTAGTAGAACTTCTAAAGTGACTATCGGAATAAAGTGTAACCCAACTTGGTCACATCGCTGGACACGTCCCATGCAGTCGCCAACGGTCGCCCAAAATCACCCACTCTTCATTGAAGTTAGTGTGAATGCACTTTAATACTCTAATGACTAGAAGTTGACATGTAGTTGCAAAAATATCTAATCTGAATTCTCTGCCCAAAGAATGGAACGATTGAAATTTAGGTTTGTCCAATAAACATATTTAGTTCTGTGTTGGTTCACCTCTTGGTGTCCAATTTAAGTGAAAACTTTTTAGAGCCAAAATGACTCAGGGGGGTGCAATAATAACAACAGGTAATCACTGTTTTGCTGTTAGTTGTTTTAAGCTCGCTATTCAGCACTCAAGCTTTTTGTTTTCATTTGGCAGGTCTCCAGTGCTCAAACCTCTTGCCCATATTGGTGGCATCCCTGGTTGTTGGTGTATGCCCACCTGTTATTTATTGGCACACACCCATGAATAAGCTCCATCTGCCCTGTCCTGGGGCAGAGGATTGTCTAATGTATGAAATCTCCTGCAGTAAATGTGTTTATTAATTACACACTAAATTAACAAATAACTGTCCAGTTTGTGGGAGGTGCAAGTCCTGTCATTCGTTTAGATGCTAAGCGGCGTGCCATGCTCCATTGAACCTGGGATTCATGTTCTACGCTGACCATGTATCCTTCTCACCTTGTATCCCATCTGATGTTATCTTGTTGTCTTTTTCGCAGTGGTCTCCTGTGGCAACCCTGGGACTCCCCGCAACGCCATGATCCAGTTCCATGATGGACTTGTGTTTTCCCGCTCTATCACCTACTCCTGCAGAGAAGGCTACTACTCCAACGGCCTGCTCACCCGTCATTGTACCGTCAATGGCACCTGGACCGGGGACATGCCGGAATGCACAGGTGCCCCATCAACACCTTTTTTTAAACTAGCCAATAACTACAGGCAAATTGTTTGGTGAATTCTTGCAAAATTCAAACATTTCAGTAGTAATCCACATGATGGAAAATTGTGTGTGAAGGAGAAAGATTTCCATTCACCTAGTTCAAGTTGGTCATGAGGATTCGCCACTTTAAGACAAATAATTCTGCTTGGTTTAAAAAGGGAGTTCTGTGTGAGCTGTGCTTCACACTGTACATCCTTACGCTATTGACAAGCGGCCTTTTTTTGCACATGAAATATTAAAAAAATATATATATATTAGCATGATCAACTGTAAATTCATGGTGCACATCTTATCCCTCTTCCTCAATGCCTGATTAAAAACATAGCATGCTATCTGGGTCTTTGTTCTGTCTAATCAAGAGCTTTTTTTAAAGCATTTAGCACTATGCTTGTATAGGTCTACACTCTTAGTTTGGTAACCGAAGGCTAACTTAAATAGTAGCATTAGCTTTGCATTTATGAACAAAGGCTCCTTGCAAACATTTGCTTAACAAGTCTTATTGTCATTCCATGTAAGAAATCATGCCTTTTATTTGCTTTAAAGTGTGTCGTTGTCTGTGTACATCTCCCTGAGTGACGCTATGTTCAGTATGGTCAAGCACCTTCTCAGCGAATCAAAGTTGTGGATTGTCAAATTGGAAAGTTTCCATGTTGGAAGCCTGAATTCAAGTGGCTTTCTTTTGCAATGTTAAGTATAGTTGGAAATTCCCACTTTCCAAGTTGAATGGAATGTGGGATAAGTCAACTATGCTCATTGTATATTTTCATAGGGTCTTTAAGTGGCTTTAGAAAGGCATGGTTTTATTCTTGAGATTTCCTTAGGCTAAACTGCTCTGAATAGCACAGCTCTCAGTGACTGTGCTCTTGAGGAATCCAGAGGCTGGAGTTGAATTGGTTTTGTTCGCGTAAAGCTTTTCAATGCATTGTGGTTCAGGACTTAATAATCAGGGACAGTGTTCTCCATTATCCCTGCCCTGGACACAAGCTGATCTGGGACGTCTACATAGCAGCCCTGTGTTGGAGAGATAGAGACTAGCCCTGTCTCCCATCTTGGCAGCCACCCGAGTGTCTTTCCATGCTCATAAAAACACAATGCTCACTGTTCAGACTCTGAGCTAATGGAGGTCACGTGCAAACATTACAGCTCCAGACACATTGGTGTCTTTGGCACAGAGCAGGTGCCATTGGCCTCAGACTACAGGAAGTGACTAGAGGAAAGAGCCTCCCAAAGCTGGTGCCTAAAACAGTTCATTAATTTAAAGGCACTACTTAGAGTGATAAAAAAACCGTGTTGCTTCAAGTTTATGACCCTTTTAATATGAAAATGTTTTTGCCTAAATTTGTTATCTGTTTCAATGAAATGGCTAATTATAAAATGGTTCCAAATCATCCAAAATTTGGCACACACCTCGATTCAGCCATGAACTTCCTCTAATCACACCACAAATGGCTTTGACTTTCTTTTTACTCTCTCTGCCCACGTCCAGTCATTAACTGTGGAGATCCCGGAGTGCCAGCTAATGGTATCAGACTGGGCAGCGACTTCACCTATGGCCACAGTGTGAGCTTCCAGTGTTCACCGGGTTTCACTATGGATGCCGATCGTGCCTCCACGCTCACCTGCACCAAGGACCGCACATGGAACGGCACTAAGCCCGTTTGCAAAGGTTCAAGCCCACTGCTTATAAACTAATGTGTCTTCAAAATCATGCTCTGTTGACTATTTTTTTTTGTTTTAGTTCACTAGTTCAACATGACTGATTGTCTCTTTCCTATCACAGCCATTGTGTGTGGTGCACCTCCCAGCATCCCGAATGGGCAGGTGGTTGGGACTGATTTCCAGTGGGGGTCTAGCATTAGTTATAACTGTAATCAGGGTTACCAGCTTTCCCTTCCCACCATACTTACCTGCCAGGGCACGGGAAACTGGAGTGGTGAACGGCCTCAATGTTTTCGTAAGTGTGAATTTAAAATATAGTTGGGCTTTTACCAGAAATGTTTGCATTTAGATCCACATACACATTTTTAAATGGGGTGTTTCAACATTGTAGATGTGGGTTTTGTGTAATTTTGGTAATACCTCATAGTATAGTGTTTTCCTCAATCAAATTCTCTTTTACTACAGCTGTATTTTGTGGAGATCCAGGGATACCAGCCCAAGGCAAGCGGGAAGACAGAGGGTTTACATACCTGTCCTCTGTTTCATTCTCATGTTACCCGCCTTTGATTCTGGTTGGCTCTGCTCGCCAATACTGCCAGTATGACGGAACCTGGAGTGGAACCCAGCCTTCTTGCATAGGTCAGAACTAATGTATTCATTCTTCACATTTCAAAAAGCGGCCATTACTTCAGTGTCACGTGATCCTTCAGAAATCATTCTAATGTGCTAATTTGGTGCTCAAGAAACATTTCTTATCAATGTTGAAAAATGTTGGGTTGTTTAATATTTTTTGTGGAATTCGTGACACATTTTTGTTTGGAATGTTATATTCATCTCATATATCATGTGTGTCAAAATCAGATATGCTATACACTATACAGGCACCATATTATGAATTACTTCCAATTTTGTTTGTTTTTTACAGATCCCAGTCACACCAGCTGTATAGATCCTGGCACTCCTCTCTTTGGCAACCAGAACAACTCTCAAGGCTATCAGGTGCTAATCACTGTAAATTAGGGCTGTTTTCAATACATCTGGAACTCTTTTTTCTCATGTCATTTATTGACTATTTGTGTGATTGTTTCAACAGATTGGTAGTTCAGTATTCTACAGCTGCAGAAAGGGCCACATTCTTCTGGGTTCCATCTCTCGGACCTGTTTGCCCAACCTCACCTGGAGTGGCATGCAGCCTGAGTGCATCGGTTAGCCGCAATATTGCAAAAAAAAAAAAAAAAAAAATATTAGCCTGATTTTTCTGTTTTCGTGTGTAAAAAATGTATTAAAATAATAATTATGTAATTATCTGTAGTGATGAATAAAGAAGAGCAACCCTGTACAATTTTTGTTTTTCACAGCACACCCTCCACAATGTCAGATTTTTCTCTCTCCTTTTCTCTCCTCAGCTCATCACTGTAATCAGCCGGAGCTTCCCGCTCAGGCGGATGTAGGTGCCATAGAGCTGCCATCTCTGGGTTATACGCTCATCTACACATGTCAGCCTGGATTCTACCTGGCTGGAGGATCTGAACACCGCACCTGCAGGGCTGATGGCAGCTGGACAGGGAAACCTCCGTTGTGTGCACGTATGTACAAAATGCTTTACAAATACATTCTTGAGCCCACAAGCTAAAATATTTGTTCCCTGTTTCTATTAAAAATGTCAAGAAAATGATCAATTGCCTTTGAGCATGTTTGTTGCCACTTGCATGTTTAAGTGTAGCCCATCTGCTTGATTCACATATTTAATGATTCACCGTCCGTTTTCAACCACTTTGTGATTTTTCTTCTCCTCAAATGTTGATAAATGGCCACGTGCATGTGTTTCATTTCCACAACTGGTGTGATCGTTGAGCCCGATTCATCATGTCATTGCTGAAAGTTCATATTAGTAGAGCTCTGATTAGCCCAATGAATTGCATTGATTTGGTTTTGGACAGCCCAGAGCGCTTTAAAACATCCTCAGATAAACAGGGCTGAGCATAGAGCAGAAATATAAGATTATCCATTTGCTTTTTACTCTGCTAAAGGAAGATGGTATTAGTCTCGAGTTAAAGCTGAAATGGATCGCACTCTAAGAGTTGTTGAAATATGTTGCTGAAATATTTTATAGCAAAGCTATAAAAGCAAGGTTCTGGCCCTTTACAGTGGAAGGATATTAACAGCACCTGTGGGAGACCAGAGAGGCAACATAGTCTGACATCTAATAAAGCTGTTTTTCCCCACTGTCAACTTATAATGTCCTGTGAAGTAGACTTCACTGGTTATTCAGACATATTAAGTGAGATTTCAAATAATAGAAAATGTTCTGCCCAAATGGTATAGGGTACATTGTGTACATTACGCATATATAATATAAACAAACCAAATCAGATTTATTAACAGGTACTGTCTGCTGTATTAATCCACTCCCTCTAACACCATATATGACTTATCCCATAGCTGATAACAGACCAAGTGGAAAAACTGTAGGAACTGTGCAAGAGCCGCCCAACACAAAGCTACCCGGTAAGTTTCACTGTCTCCCATAAATTTAACTAATCTTTCAATGGAAGTTAATTACAAATCCACCTAAAATATTTTAGTCACGGTTTCTTTCAATCTGTTCTTCTATTCTCAGTGCCAAGTGGGGTTTTTTCTAAGAACTCTCTTTGGAGGGGTTCATACGAATATCTAGGGAAGAAGCAGCCAGCAATGCTTAGCATAACTGCTTTTGAACCGCTCAGCAATCGGGTCAATGGCACTCTCATGGACCACAGCGGAGTACAGCTCAATCTGGCTGGTAAATGTTTTTTATTTTAACCTCACAACACATTTTACCAACCACTCATTTGTGACGCTTCAACAGCAAGCTAATGAAAAATGTTCTAGCTTGTACTGCCCCCAGCACTGTTTTGTATTCTCTTCAAGGAAAGGTTCCGCCCAAAAAATTCTGTATTCTTATTCCAAACCTTCCTTTTTTCTTTTTTCTTTTTTTTCTTCCATGAAAAAAACAAAACAAAAAACAAAACAAAAAAAAAACATTAAATAGGAAATTATATCATAGCGAGGACCTCTACAGACCCTCACTGCTGTGTTTCACAGGGATCAAACAATTTTAAGACGAAGAAAGATTAGTTCAGGTTGTGAAATGGCATATTATGCAATTAATCAAAAACCTAATGATATTTGTGAGTGAATAATTCATGATATCAAAATCTAGCTTAACATTTATTTAAAAAATAATAATTTTGAAATAGAATGTGTTCACACTTGCACTCTCAGGAAAAAAAGGTACAAAAGCGGTCACTGGGGCGGTACCTTTTCAAAAGGTACACTTTTGTACCTAAAGGGTGCATATTGGTACCTTCATGGTACATATTTGTACAAGTATGGTACCGATATGCACCCTTTAGGTACAAAAGTGTACCTTCTTGAAAGGGTACCGCCCCAGTGACAGCTTTTGTACCTTTTTTTCTGACAGTGTGGGGTTGAACGACTTTAGATTTTTTTTTCAAGTCAACATGTATGTGATCAAAGTCAAGTCGATGTCCATTAGTCGCAAATGCTGTCATTAAGGAACAAATAACCTGAGCATCGAGCTGAGACACACTCAGCTATGGCATATGACAGCACTGCATACAATGCTATTGCTTCTACAAGTTTACTTTTATCAGTTCTTTTGTCTTGAGTCGTAATATTTCTCACTTATTTCTGTTCGTTCTAAATCAAATACAGATAAAGTAGCAGAGTAAAGATTACATTTATATGAATGCATTAGTAAGAGAGCGATTGCATGTTGGCAGCATCTCTCTACAAATAGTGAAGCTGGGGGTTTTAGTTACTAAGAGGAATATGCTAGAATCTAAGCTATTTTATTGATAAATCACAGAACAGTGTTGACAATACATTTATGCGCTACTGAATGTTTCTGTGTGCTCGATCTGCACGTGATGTGCGAGCACATCAGAAATGAAGCAGCACATTACTTTAGGACTGTCTGTGTTTAAATTGCTTATATAGTAAGCTGTTTAAAACATGCATTCTTTCAAACAATTTTGAGCATCCAGATGGTATAATCAAACAGTTATTGTGGAGTGCTCTCAGAGTATGTATTTATTTGTCAATTTAATAACACAGTCTCATCCCAAGACGTCATATAACTGACGCTTTTGACCATACGTCAACATCCGCCTTTTTAGGGTACCCTGAAACGTCGGTTAGATGACGATCCTGGGGTGTCGTCCAACTGATGCTTTACCTTTAACGTCAGTTAGGTGACGGGGTAGGTTTAGGTCGGTTAGATGAACATCATACAAATTTAAAAGTTTATATGTGGACTTCAATGATTTCTTATTCTGTTGCACCCTCTATAGGCCATGATCAGTGATAAGTCGTCATCACTACTCACTACGCATGCAAAACCATATAAAACCAAGTACAAAACCCTGACAATTATGTTTTCCAATTTTAAAATATTTGTATCGTTATAATAATCTTATGACACTCATTAACACTTATTGTAGGTGCATCAACCTTTTAACACCCTCATTCACTCTCTCCATTCCTGCAGGTACCTATAAGAAAGAAGAAGCCCAGTTGTTGCTGCAGGTGTATCAGATCCGCGGCCCTGTGGAGATCTTCGTTAACAAGTTCAAAATTGACAACTGGGCACTTGACGGACATGTATGTGAATTCCTCTTTCCCGTTTCCTCTGATCTTCACTGTAGGTTTTGACAGGAAGCCCTTGTTTGCAGTACATCCATGAAATCCTTAACGTGATATGTTGAAATGGAGACTCCCTGCAGTGTGAAACGTGGAAATAATAATCACCGTGGTGATTATACAGATTCTCCACGTTGTAATGGATTAGATTCAAATAGATTGTTTGCTTTGAACTGCAGATCAAATATTTAAGCCAAGTAGGTCTGATTTAACTCGACCCAGACATCCATTTGACTTATTGTTAAGTAGACTTGTTACTGGGAAAGAGAAGCATCTTGCAACTGATTTCAACAGCTTTGCAACATGTTTTTTTTTTATGTTGATGCAAGTCTTTTTTACTTTACGGTATGACATCATGCAGATGTAGTCTTCAGAAAGTCATGGTCTCACTTTGAAAGGTGGAGGTTTCTGTACCTTTACTGCAACTTGAGAGTACTTCAGTACTCACAGGCTGATGTAAGGGCTCTTGTCTAGGGCCAGACCTTGGGCTGCTTGCAACAACTGAAACCCTCAACCACACACACACACACCTTGTCTCTCCTGGGGATAGGATAGCACCGAGAAAGTTTTTCTTTTAATTAAAACGTCAGTTAAATCATTGCTGGGTAATCAGGGCCAGACGTCTCTACCCCCTCCAATGCACACGGGACAAGCACCTGGGAGAGTGTAATTAAAAGTGTGGGCCATGAGTGTGTGGCTCTTGTGTGTGTGTTCATGTAAGAGAGAGAAAGAGCACAAGGATAAATGAGAAAGCTCGTTTTATATTTGCCTGTCTGTTTGTATTCGCATATGTACACGTGTTATGCCTCAGTGAGGAATGATGGGGAAAGTAAATGTCAAACATAAGTAGTCTTTCACATGAGTGACACATTACCTTTCGGTGGCTCATTTTTGACATTTTGAAAATTGTGTACACTTACTGTTTTATGTTTTTATCCACAGGTGTCATACATGCCTTCATCCGATTCATTTGTATACCAAGGCTTTGTTCGAGGAAAAGGCTTCGGCCAGTTTGGTCTTCAGAGGCTGGGTATGTGTGCTTGTCTCATAGGACACTTCATTTGTTAAAGGGATACTCCACTTTTTTTGGAAATAGGCTCATTTTACAACTCCCCTGGAATTAAACAGTTGGGTTTTACCGTTTTCGAATCCATTCAGCCGATTTTCTGATATTTAGAAGAATATCAGTAAACAGACAGTTTCTGGTCTCATTGACTTCCATAGTATATATTTTTTTTCCTACTATGGAAGTCAATGAGACCAGAAACGGTCTGGTTACTGATATTCTTCTAAATATCAGAAAATCGGCTGAATGGATTCAAAAACAGTAAGACTCAACTCTTTAACTTTGGGGGAGTTGTAAAATGAGCCTATTTCCAAAAAAAGTGGAGTATCCCTTTAAAAGTTATTTGTTTCACCCAAAAATCAATTACCCTGCCTTATGGTGTCCCACAACTATAAGAATTTTTTTTTTTTTGTCTTCGAAGCACAAATGAACTTTCGATTGGAAGGATCAGAAACCAAGCTTCATAAAAATATCTTCATTTGTGTTTCGAGGATTAACAGAAGTGGTTCGAAATGACGTGAGTGGGTAATTGGTGGCAGAATTTGAATTTTGGTGTGAACTTATACATTTAAAGGAATGGTTTACTTTAAAAAAAAAAAAAAAAAAACTTTCGTTGATAATTTACTCATCAAAGATGTCCACGTCTTTCTTTCTTCAGTCGAAAAGAAATTAAGGTTTTTGATGAAAACATTACAGGATTTTCTCCATATAATGGACTTCATTGGGTACCAAACAGTTGTCCAAATGAGAGTTTGTATGGTTCATTCAACGAACGAAATGGACGAAATTATTCGAAAAAAGATTCATTGTGATGAACGCGTTTGAACAGGAGAGTCACGAACGCTCATCACAGAACAGAGCAAGGCGAGCATTTGTGCTTATAAAACTTTTTATTTATTTTTAAAATGACCGATCGTTTCGCTAGATAAGACCCTTATTCATCGGCTGGTATCATTTAAAGCCCTTTGAAGCTACATTGAACCGTTTGGTACCCAATGACGTCCATTATATGGAGAGAAATCCTGGAATGTTTTCATCAAAAAGCTTAATTTCTTTTCGACTGAAGAAAGAAAGACATGGACATCTTGGATGACATGGGGGTGAGTAAATTATCAGAAAAAGTTTTTTTTTTGTTTTTTTTTATAAGTGAACTACTCCTTTAAGTCTGAACATATAAAATGACAAAAATACAGTTTGTTTTTTTGTTGGTTTTTTTAGAAAAAAGAAGGAATATTTAGGAAAGGAAGCAAGCGAAAATCGTGACTCTCCTGAGTCTCCTCGCTGATTGAACTAACATATCCACTTTTATGAACAAATTGACTTTCCTGTTGAATTAAGGACACCCAGCACTGCATGAAAATAGGTGTATCCGGACCAGTATACTCCTGTATACACTGCTGAAATTCGGAAGAATCCAGGAGTATAGTGGCCGGATATGTCAAATTCCATGGGTTTGTATATATCCGCATACATCCGGAATGATACCAAATCGGATGTATGTTGTGGACGTATACTTCCGTGCTAGAGCCATTTGTTGCCATGGCAAGTAATCCCATTAAAGGTTTTAGCAGGAAAAAAAATCACACCTTTTTGCAGGAAACATTCACACCTTATTGCCTTCCAACCAAACTGGATTGGTTGTTCTTTTAAAGCCACTCCCAACACCCAGACCACTATTGGAGGGCAGGACACATTGAAAACCCAGTAAACGGACTTTATTGGTTACTTTTAAACATAGCCCACCCTAGGCCTTGTAGCATACTGATTTGATTGGTTATATACCAGCTATGCAGATATTGCTCAAATATATACCAAACCTCCCTCCCCCAATTTTAATATATTCATTAAAATAAATTTGATATATATATATATATATTTATATTTAAACACACAAAGAACAATGGGAAAGTCTGAAATTTTTATTAAGGTATATAACACATTCCAAATAGCATTATAAACAAGCATTACAGAGGAATTGGGAACAAAAACTAGAAAAAAAAGTATGAAGTAATAACATCTCAAAGGAAGAAAAAAAAATCATGGACATTCCAAAGAAAATTATAAACATACATTAAATAAATTGTTAACTTTTTATTTTCGTTAATTTTTTTTTACCCAATCATTTTAAAGGACAGATGTAAAGGAATAAAGTACACAGTGTATATAAAAAGTTACATATATATATATATATATATAATATATGAAGAGTTCCATTTGAAATTTTCTCCTTTAATGATGATTTTTATCAAACTTGTATATTTAAGTTCAGTAATTTCTCTTAAATGGCAATGATAATTGCCTATTAATTGTTATTTAAGTGAAATTACTAAACTTAAATATACAAGTTTGATAAAAATCATCATTAAAGGAGAAAATTTCAAATGGCATTTAGAGGCTTTTGCATCTGAACTCTTCATATATATATATATATATATATATATATATATAATATACGTAGATATTCCAAGTAAACAATATAAATAAATAGAAAATTACAGAGAGTGCATTATAAACATACATTAAAATGCAAACAAGTAAACAAAATGGAGATAAGCAACATGGACAACAAAAAAAGGAACAAATATATGAAATAATACGAGAAAAATAAATAAGAAATTAAAGTGTATATAAAATATTCAAGGTGTACACTGCCGTTTATAAGTTTGGGATCGGTAAGAAGTCTCATATGCTCGCCAAGGCTGCTTTTTTTTTTATATATAAAAAATACAAAAAAGTAAGAGTAATATTGTTAAATATTATGACAATTTAAAATAAACGTTTCTATTGGAATACATTATTCTTGTGATCAAAGATGAATTTTTAGCATCATTACTCCAGTCTTCAGTGTCACATGATCCTTCAGAAATCACTCTAATGTGATGATTTGATGCTCAATAAATATTCATTATTATTACCAAAGTTGAAAACAGTTGTAGACTTTTTAGGATTATTAGGATTATTTAGGTTTTGTAACATTATAAATGTCTTTACTGTCACATTTGATTCATTTAATGCATCCTTGCTGAATAAAAGTATTGAGTTAATTTGAGCTATCCCCCCCAAAAAAAAAAAAAAAATATCTTACCGACCCCCAAACTTTTGAACGGTTATATATATATATATATATATATATATATTTTTTTTTTTTTATACGAGTTAACATTTTTCAAACTGCCATGATACGCTGGTGGTGTGACGCATAGTGTGGGTCAGCCTCTAGTCTGTTTTATAGTACCTAGCAGAGAGCAGATTGGTGGATACCTCACCATTCACACTGGCCTTCCATCAACAATAGCATCATCTTCAGACATCAGACATCAGTTCTATTGTTGCGGTCTTCCAAAGTTCCTTTTCTGTGTTGGTTTGTACAACCCCGGACCTGGTCTCCAGCAACTGAAAAACATGACAGTAACTTAACCACTAAAACACAGAGAGGAGGATAGTTACATTCTGAAGAGAAAAAAAGTGCTTAACCAGTTTCTTAACTTACCAGTCGCTTTCTTTGAAGGTTCTTTGCAATGCTCGTCATAGTTTTTCTTTTCTGGGCCTTTTCAGGCTGAGCCAAAGAATACTTCCTCCGCAAAGTCTCAAAATACATCTTCCAACCTGCTAAATATATCATAAATAAATGTAATGGCAATAAAAATAAGTAAAACAGAGGACAATAAAATGATTACAACATCTTTAAGATTACCTTTTACACATTCAGGGTCAACGTCTGTAAAAGTTGACCTTAATTCTTCGAAGAGGTAAGTGGTCACAGCCAGGTTATGTGATGAATTTATTCTGGGGGGGAAAGTTGCAGGTATCATTACCGAAATTCACTTTTGGCATTCCAAATCCATAGAGTAGTAGATTAAACTAACATTTAGGCTATAGTATATAAGAAACAGTCTTACCTGGTTTGTGGAACGTATTTGTGTGGGTTGTTCTCTGAATTATGGAGGCGCCTTACAGATTCCTGTAAAGTTTGAAATTAAAAAGCAATTAAATTGATTCACAATCTTCAAGAACCAAAAAAATGAATTTTCAGTTGGAAAAAGCTGACCATCACAGTAACCGCAGGAGACAAAACAATAATTGTAACCGAACTATGGCTTACAGCCACGTTATAGAACAATAATTGGACTTACCGCAATGTTCACGTCATGTGCCTTTTTTATTCTTTTCGAAGCGTTGTAAGATTCTTCATGTAACGTTAGTCTGTGCTGCTCATACTTTCGCTAAAGAGCATCAAGACGCTGGAGAGTCTCTCTGAGAAGATCAGGTTGTGGCCAAAGACAGATTGATCCTCCCATTGTGATTCTGCATCACAGCTGTGGGGCATGTGGATGTGATCATCCTCATAGTTATCCACTGCATTACTGACTCTCATTGATGCATCTATGGAAATATTATAACCATAAACATTTTTTACATTAGTAGCTACTTAAAATAGATAATGGAGAATTCATTGATGATGGCACCCATAGTTACACAGAACAGTGTGTGAGAAAGATACATTAATTAAAAACGAAACAATACACAATCTCCTAACTCGCCATAAGTCAATATCAATATCTGAATGAGAGATGTAGCTAGCTGGCCTGCTAGCAACAGCAATCTCTGTATAGACCATTTCACAAGATGTAAACAACACTGGTCCAGAAGCACTTCCTGTTTCAGTTTTAACACTGTATAAACGTTGGGTTAAAGTACAACCAACAGAACAACTGAATCAAAAAGTTAAACAAACATATTCAAGATATTTTCTTTACATTTGAAATTAAGAAGCCTTTTACAAACTGAAACAGGAAGTGCATCTGGACCAGTGTTGTTTACATCTCGTAATGTGCAATAGCAGTAATGTGAGCTATTGTAAGACTAATGTAAGTTACCATACTATCTTGTACTACCGTGAATATTCATTCATTCATTCTTTCAGACTCTTAGGTCAATATCACAAAGTTAAATAAATAACATGTATATGTGGGCAATGGTAATCATGCAAGATTCATTGTATTTTGTTTACGGCTTGTTACTGATCTTAAATGCATTCATAGAACGGACTTCACGAATCTAAAGTTAGGCAAACAAGCACATAACAGTTAGGCAAGTTAGCTTACCTGAATCTGACAATATTCAACACCCGGCGTGACTTCTTTATCGGAACATCGTAGCCGAGCCATTTCTGTGGTGTTCCTCAATCGGATTCCCGTCCTTAGGCCCTGTTAACACGAGAACGCTCGCGGGTGAAAACGTAAAAATATTTTATCGGATGTGCCTTTCGTTTACACGGCGATGGCGTTTTTGAGGCTCAAAAAAGCAAAAAAAGTGAAACCACCCTCCAGAGTGGAAATCTTAAATCTTATCCGTGTAAACGGTAAAAACGCAAAAGTTTGCTTGACGGTGAAAGTTGTACGCAGGCGCGTGGACTTGGTGTTGTAGTATGCACTCCTAGCCGCCTGAAGTGCATACTACATTGAATTTCACACACTTTTGCGTCTCCATTTGCACGCGGATTTCTCACACAAAACGCTCGTCTAAACGCAGAATAAAAAAAAAGATGACGCAACGCCACTTTTGCGTTTTCTCATCAGAATCGTTTCCGTGTTTAGCCTCAGTTGGGCACTTTCAAGCCTATGCTTCCAAATGTAGTGCCTTCCGCCATTGCCTCCGGTGCTCCTCGTCTGTGGTGGGTGTAGCTAAATCGTAAAGTGCACCACAACAACAATCTGACCGCCTCACATTATGTTCGTTACACCGTTGGTCCAATTGTTCTCTCCTCTTAATCCAACTGTTATGGCAGCACCTAACTGAACATTTAATACTTGACATATTTTACCGTTCGTTTCAACTAGCGCAGAATCTCATCCCTCTCATGAGCCGGAAGTTGAAGTCTTTCTCAGACGGGAGTAATGACAAAACGAACGCAATGGCGTCACCCTTGTTGTCGTGCAAAATAAGGTGAATAGAAGAAAACTGTTTCCAAACCTCGAACTGTTCTCTTTGCTTCGGGAATGCTGTAATTTTAAAGTATTTTTCTCGCGCTTGAAGCAATAAACTAACGTTATTGGTTGCACCTCCATTACGTCACCACATTTGTTGTGTTTATGGTTGTGAGTGGTGAATTTCAAACCTCAAAACGCCCCCTTTTCTTGCAGCTTGTTTGTTTGCGGAAGGACTTATTCACTCAAACCACAAACCTCGGTATGACGCGTTGCAAGTGAATCTATTTAATTTTGTGAATAAATATGATGCTCTTCAACATGGAAGGATAACCAGCTGCTGACAATAACACGGGAAAGCCCGGTGGTTTTGCGACCACTCGTTTCACATCATGCATGCCCAAAGAATTAACTCTGCCAAAACCGTGATGTCATTGTCCATCTCAGTTCAGATCTCATATAATGGTGTCAATGCAGGCAGTTCAATAACATTGTTGAATATTAAATAAAAATGTCTCCAACTAAGCAAAGCCAATGGCGACAAATGTTGTTGTCTGCAATTGGTAAAACTTCACAATTAAAATTTAGATATTCTGAAATGTTTCCCTGTATTTTTTATTTCATTAAATATTCAGATGTTTTTGTGAACGTATATTCATGGTGTTTATTTTGTCCTGTTTTTATAAAAGAATATTTGATTAGGATACTTTTTTTCATACAGTGGTTTTAAGGCCCCACAGGCAACATAAGCCAACCCTAGAGTTGGCTTTAGTCATTGCTAGTTCTTTGACGTCGGTTTTCTGTTTCAGGGCCTTAAGAATTTATTTATTTTTCTGTACAAAAAACTTGTTTGCTGTAGACCAGAGATAATTTTCAATCCTGAAGTCCCCTGCCACTCCTCCCTCTGAGAACAGCCAGCACCCTTAGTGTCAGTCATTAACATATGAAAGGTCTTCTTCACACCTCTCACACCCAGCAGTGTTTCAGCTGTATATGTCCGTGAAATTTCACGGATTCCTGTATATGCCCGCTTAGGTGAGGTTTCCGGGTTTGTCTGGAAATATACTGTTCCGTGTTACTCTAATCCGCTTTTTCCCACATACATCCAGCAAACATCAAATTGCACAGGAGTTTACCATGCCCGGATATTGCCGGATTTGAGTCTTTTCATGCAGTGCAGGACACCAAAGTGATTCCATTGGCTGAAACTGTTCAGTGTACTACCTTAGTGATAGCAGTAACCTAACATCGCATTCTAGCTCACCTTAGACCCTATGCAAGTGACTTATTCTAAATCAGGCATTACAATGGTTTACCCCTCAAGTTCTATGAAATGCATATATTTTACCCAAAAATATTAGGTATTGAACCCTTTCAGGGGTTTATCTGTGTCAGATGGTTGGGATACTCAAAAAAAATAGAAAGAAAGAAAGAAAGAAAGAAAGAAAGAAAGAAAGAAAGAAAGAAAGAAAGAAAGAAAGAAAGAAAGAAAGAAAGAAAGAAAGAAAGAAAGAAAGAAAGAAAGAAAGAAAGAAAGAAAGAAAGAAAGAAAGAAAGAAAGAAAGAAAGAAAGAAAGAAATCAGTCCATCAATTATTTGAAAAAAGTTGCCTCTGCTTTTTTAAGCTGGCAAAGTATTTTAATATTGAATACAATACGCACTTCAGCTTTGTCTGTGTATTTTCCTCAATAATTATTTATCAATGGTATGATTTAAAATGAAATATAATTACAATTCTGTGCGCAACAGCTATCATGTATTATAATCATACAGTTTAGAAAGAAAGAAAAACTAGAGTCAGTCTAAGTATCTTGTGTACAGCTTGTGGAGGCCAAACCATGAACGGTCTGTCAAATCCTGCCGTGATGGAAAAAGGTGTGCCTTCATTTATAAACGACAGCTGTATAGACTCCTATCTCAACATCGTCTGACAGATTGAACAAACAGAAGATTTATTAATAAGAGGGGCTGTAGTGGAAAGAGCATGTGTGTGCGCGCACCCATATTTCATCATTTAATGTTGCTTTGATGAGCTGGCTCTATTGAGTTAGTTAATTGAATCACCCACTTGCAGCCTTGATGTTATTGGGAAGCTTTTTGGCATTGTCTGATGAACAGGTGCACTCTCTTGTTGTTTAGGAAAGCTCTGTGGTCGAAATTGAAAAGTGAATTCAGAACGATTTCATCTTTGCCATGTCTTGATATCTGTAATTAAAAAAGTATTGTCAAGATAATGCACTTTGGCATGCATCTCCCAATATCTTGCCACATTCCGTGTTTTTATTTCTTATTTGTTACATGGTTTTAAATCAATTTGAACACATGCTTTGACTGAACTTTTCGCTTGTGGTTATTTATTGTTATTTCATAAATGGTTCCTTTGTATGTTATTTTTTACAGAGGGCCTTGATCCAAATGGGGAGAATCCAGGCTATAACTTTGCCTCCAATAGCAGTTCAGTGGCAGCAGCCATTTTAGTGCCTTTTATTGCCATGATTATAGCAGGCTTCGCTCTGTATCTCTACAAACACAGGTAAAGCAGTTCACGAAATATGGATCATTCATTGAATCATATATTATGAATCCCTCCTCCACAATATTTGTTAATATGTCTTGCTTACTTTCAGAAAAAGGCCCAAAGTACCCTTCAATGGTTATGCGGGCCATGAGAACACCAACGGAAGGGCGACTTTCGAAAATCCTATGTATGACCGTAATATCCAGCCCACTGACATCATGGCCAATGAGACAGAGTTCACGGTCAGCACAGTGTGCACGGCAGTATAGCGACCGCTCTAGGCAAAGGTAAGTCTTCAACCAGAAAGATTCATTCTCAGTGATCTGCCTGACTTTGATTGATTTGTTACGACTGCGTTTGTCAGCAGAGCCTGTATCTGTAATAATCTCAAAAGTATTTGGATAAACCAGAGTTTTGTAAATACTTTTTTTTTTTTTGCTTCGGGCACATACTAGCTATGACATGCCAAATATGTTAGCTAATAACCATGTTTCAGTTTGCCTCAGAAATACATTTTGGAACAGCCTTTGCGCCAGGAGCGTGTTTCCATAGGAAATCCATCAGGGTTTGAAAAAAAACATAATAATTGTTTTCTTTTGAAATTCGTATCCATGGCTCCTTCTCTTCCCAAACTCGCTGGTCTGTGTCCCTAGATGGCATCCATCATATTGAACCACATATTCACTTTACGGTAGTCACTCCGTGGTTTCTTGCATTTAATGTGGCACTGCTCGGACGTCCGCTGCAACCCCTTGTTTTGCAGCGGTGTTGTGTTTTTAAAACGCTGTCGTGTCCCTTGTAGAACGTGCAAGTTCTCTGTCAACCAATCAACGTTCTGCAGTGAGTCTAGATCAGCCCTTTAGGTACCGTACCACTGTGCTAGGTAACCCCCACCATGTGAATGTTTTTTTTTTTTTTTTTTCATGAACTTGTTAGACATTTTTTCTAGATTTCAGAGTCATACTGTGACCTTAGCATTCTGCATCCACATCTAACGTGCTTCATTAGACTACTGTACAAACTAGCATGGCATCTGAGATGAAAAGGTCATTGTCGAGTGCATATAAAATCTTGCGATGTAATAAGCCGAATAAGGACATAGACCTCAGTGAAAAGGGGAAAAAAAGCAATATATCCTCACATAGTTGCTTTGGAATGATTTAGTGGCATCATTTGCTATATATTTCTGTTATTATACCCAAACTGCCTTTTCAGCATATAGTTTGTTTGAATGTTGAGTGGGCGAATTAAAACTGGAGAAATTGTACTTCTTATACTGACTTTATCGGCCTAGTTTTGCCCTCAGTCAAAATGGAAAACATACTGCTGAGGCAAGGGGATAAAGATAGAGAAATATTGAATTTTAATTTATTTATATCAGCTGTTGTACCCTTTTCAAAGTTATATATATATATATATATATATACTTTTATTAATTAAGTTGAAAATGTACCTTGCTATTGCAGTGTTGTGATAATGTTAGATACAGTAGTGTTGAGCACCCCTCTTTCTCTGTTTTTTTCTTCTTTTCACTTCTTTTCTTATCCATTCCTTCTGAAAAGCATTTGCGCAGTAACCAACTACTGTCAAATTAGCATTGCTTTTAAATACGGTATCCTAATAGTACCTCAGCTGTTTTTAAAATAGCTTTTCCATTAATGGGCTACTTTTGAAACAAAAATAGCACAGTGTTTTGTTTAATTTTTCTTCACACAACTGTTAAAGCCGAGCAAGTCATCAAAAGCACTGTTATTGGGAGTATTTTTATTTTTTTGTAAATTGCACTGTAGCTATAGTAAATTTGACAGTAGTTTAACTATGTCTCTTGAGAAGTTTCAAAGTACTTTCTCCAACACTGCAGACAAATGTGTCTTCTCTCCTCTTAATTCCTTCTCTGTTCTCTTTCCTCCTTTCACAGGCTGGATATAGTCTTTCCCTCTCCACACAACTATAGTTACGAATGGGCCGCACGGATGGACTAAAGAGGAGGATTTTTTTTGTTGTTTTTTATTTGTAAACCAATTCCAATGTGACAAAGTGATAAACCTTGATAACAATGCTGTAAAAATGCATCAACAGAGATGCACTGATAAAGAACCACGTCAGTGTTTGCTAGCTGAAACTCTGTTCCTACACACCTCTTCTGTCTCCTCTTTTTTCCTTCTGAGGGAACGTCCTGTTTGACTGTGGCAGCGCGAAGGGACACATGTGAAGCTCAGTCGTCGCTTGCCAAAAAAAGACAAGAGGTACATTATTCAGTCAAACAAAGCCCGCCCATTCTTACTCCTGAGGTAGAGGAAGCCTTCTTGTGAACAGGAAGTCAAGAAGCATGTTGCTGGAGAAGCTTTGTTTAACTTTTTTACCTTGAGTTGTTTTCTATGGAGTGCGTTTTGGCTTATTTTGTCCCATATCCACGAACTAAAATCACAGACTTCACTGACACATCAGTTCCCTGAGCATGTTACGCCACACCTCGACTTGAAGAGGAATGAGATTCAGAGGGTTATTAGAAGACATGGATTCTAGCTGTAGCACCTCTTTTCTCATTTCAGCTTGAAGGAACAAGTGTTCTCACAGCATCTTATCACGATCCTGACTGAGAATGGACAGTCCAACCCTCCGAGCAGCCCAGCGGAGAACATGAAAAGACACGGCGCACATGTTTATGAGTTCAGGGGCTTTATGAAGCTGACTTCACGGCCTCTTCCCCACATTTACAGAAGAAAAGCAGCCCACATTAGAGGTTTGGATTTCCTCTATACTACCAAGGAGTGGATTTGGATGATCTGAGTTGGATGTTCTTGGTTTACGGGCTGGGATTTATCGATGAACGATTCGCTAGCGTTTATAGATATTCCTGATGTCAGGCAGATCTTAGGTGGTGGGCTTCTGATGTCATTGAATGTCATGGATCAAATGATTTTCATACATAGATTTAAAAAAAAAAAGCAACACAGTCCTTGAAGACCAGAGATAAATATAACTTGAAACATGTATTTCATAACCAAGGGAGGGTCCGCTTTCAGTCCTCAAGTTCTGAAGTCAAGGATAAGGATGACGGATTTACTCAAAAGGAGCCAACACCAAATAAGCGTGAAAATCTTTAATCTCTGTAGCTTTGTGTCATAATCTGTTTCCCTGCATATTCCTCCATGTCATCCTTGCCCACACCACACTTACGATAAGCGAAAGGGGCTTAGGAATCACTCCTTAAAATACTAATCCAATGCCGGTTGTTTATTTTGCATGCATTTGCCCCAGTAACTTGATGGGATGGTCTGAAGATGAGCAAGTGTACAAATAGTGTGGGATAGATCTGCATACTGAATAACTTGTATTCTGATGCCAGAGTACACTATATTCTGGGTGCAGCATCCGTTAACTGGCCGGTGTTATTGAGATTTGTAATTCGGTTATTGAATATTATTGCCGCTGCTTGTTTTGGCATCATTCGGTTAGATTTTCTTTTTCTTATGGCCTCTGTTAACTGATGCCGGCATTTACTTTCCGGTTTACGTGCTGCACTGTTCAGCTTTTGAAATCAATCTCTGATATAATTGCTTTTACAAGTTTATTACTTTTGAAATCGGTAGCCTATCATCGTTGTGTTAATGTGATATTACCTAGAGATTGTTTCAATTGTGAGTTGATCGAAAAAGCAAAGATTGTATTTCCCTTGGGATTTAATGGGCCAGGAGTTTAGCAGGTACATTATCTTCAACCTATTGACATTCTCTTTATATTTACAAGACTGCCGCATGGCTGTTCTGCTTTATCAGTGTTGACGTCATCTTAAAGCATTTGCCACATACCAGACATCATTTTGCTGCAGATTGGCATTTTATGTTTCAGCAAACCTACAATAATTCCGGCATTAGAAATAGCTCCTTTTAAAATGCTACAAAATTGCACTTAACACATAAATCAAGGCACAAGGGCTTCAAAGTCATCTCCTCTGGTTCATTTTCATCTCTATATGTGTATTTGAACCCATACTGTTGTTGAAGTGTCCAGGCAGACTGTGTTTCACACTTGTCCATCTGTTTCTCGTAACAGTGCCTTGGTAACGCTAAATGTGGTGTATCTAATCTCTTCTTATTGCTCCATTTTTGTTATTTTTGCACACTGGTCAAGAGCTACCAGTTGCTAGGGGAGAATTTCAAAGACGCTGCTTCTCTGTTTAGTCGAGTCTTTGTTATTCTTAGCTTGAGAGAATCAAACAAATACAAAAAAATAAAGACCAGCACCCTAAAACGTGAAATCGATTTACATCTTCACATAATTCCCTATAGGTTAGAACCTGGTCTTCTTTGTCCTTCCAGCTTTGTATTTATTGTGAATATTATTAATTTTGCAAATCTGTTGCAAAACCTATGGTACTGCTTTGCCAAAGTCAAAGGCCTCAGCCCATTTCATATAGATATAGAGAGATATATAATGCTTATATATAAGCATTACAGCATTTACGGTATTATTAATGGCATTTAGCAATGCTAACAGTGAAACAGTCCTCAACATGTTCCCGTCTGTAGTGTCGTCATTGCATGATCACTAAAACAGACGTGCTCCCTTCACAGCGCTGATGTGTTATCAGTGTCATATCGTTTTTATGAACCCAACTGTGCCTGGTGGCCCTCCATATATTTTATTTTATTATTGTCAGCCCAACTGAATCACACATACATATACTAAAATGGAGACCAGCATCTCAAATAATTTACATTTGGGATGAGCCCTTTTCATCGAGGTTGTATTAGCATGACGTGAAATTTTACAAGTTATATGCAGCAACGATTATCTTAATTGTTATCCTGTTGTGATGTCAAGACCACCTCATATAGTGTCAGAAAACGTGTATTTTTTTCAGTGTCTTTCAAAGGCGAGAAGTTTGGATGTAGTCAAAATTGGGATTGCACTGAATGTATGTTTAATTTTGGAAATGTATATCTGCTATACATGTTGTGAACATCCAACAAACTACATAACTCATGAAACATCCCTTAATAACATATCAGAGAAGTGGCACCCCTAAAAGACTGCATATCGATATATTTAAATTGCACACTGAGCGTATATTGAAGTAGTATATGAAAATGTTACACTACAGGATGAGCGAATCCGTTTTGTGCGGAGGTTGATGTGAAAAATATCTTGGTATGCACTTTTCCAGCTTATTTTCGTCCTTTTAATCTCATTTTGAGAACCACATCCATGCTTTTCTCTCCAGTAGGTAGGTACGAGCCCAGCCTTGAAGGACTTTTAAAGGACTGCTCTGCTCTGGCTATCCAAAGCCTAAAGGAATACAGACAGTCTTGAGTTGCGTACTTGACCAAAAGGATTTTTTTGAACAGACTTTCAAACTTTCAAGGACCTTATTAGAGCGGTCCGTTGTGGATATCCAGACAGAGACACTAAGAGGAGAACTAATGAATAGAAACCTTTTTTTTGTACAGAGATATATTTTTATGGAAATAAATTTGTAATATAAAAAAAGAGAAAGTGTATTGACAGATCTGTAAATGTTTTTCATTATTGTAGTACAAATGCTAGTGGGGATTATAAAAAAAATATATATATATATATATAAAATATATATATACAAAGACAAAATAGAGACAAAGTTTTTTTTGTAAATGTAAAAACGATTGTATATAGAAGTTTACATATTGTAAATATGTAATACCCAACATGGCTTGTCTGCAATATATAAAATGTATTTTATCTGTCTGTATATGATGCTTTGCATTGTGTTTCAGCTTATTCTACTTTCTTGAACTTAAAAACCTATTTTGAAGTTTTTTGGAATAAAAAAAAAAAAGAAAACATGTGCCAGGTAGCTTCTTTGTTGTGGCAGGTTTAGCAATATCATTATTATATTTAATCGAATTCCCTTTTAAACTAAAAGGTATAGATTTATGGTAGAAAAAAAACAGACTCACCAAATTTCCACACCTCAAGTGTTGGGTGCAAACATGGATAAACTTTCTCTGAGAAAGATCTAGTTTTAGTAATGAAACCCAGATTGAAAGTATAACAAAAGTAATTTGCAGTGTTTATATATAGAATTATCATGAAATATCACCTTCGAGCGACACTGTGATTTAATACACTTGATTAATGGCTAATTATTTGGATATTTTGGCAGCCATAAAGTTCCAATTTCTGTTTTATTGGTTTACCAAAGCAAAATCATTTCAAGTACTTAACTACTCCTTCGGGTTGCATGTACCCCTGGTTGGGAACTCCTGCTGTACGACACCAGGCCTCTGGGTGTAATAACTTTCTTTAGAAGCCACTTCTCTTGGAAATACAAATACTGTGGGAGTACAGATGGCGTTTTGATCGTTTATTATTTATTCAGTTCTTGTCATTAGTGCCTTCCCGCTTGTGTTCAGTGGTAGCTTGAGGGAACAGACTTTTATCCGAACTTTTGCAACAATAGCATCTAGAAGACTTAAAGTTTTGTCAAACCATGCCTGGGATGTATAATTAAAGGTAAAAAAGCAGCACAGATCTCCCAGGGTTCTACGCGCCTCCCACGCAGCAGAAAGAATCAAGCTGGAGATTCTGTTTACTGCCAATGTAACATTTATTCACGAATATTTTATTCGATTTCAGAAAGAGAGGCCATTTCGAATGGGTCCAATTCATGTTCCTGCGCTTGCAGTGTTTCAGCTTCAGTTGGGAGCAGGACAGCAGCCAAACTAACTACAAGTTTTTTATATTATTAGGTTGGACAGTCTGTTTCAAACAAAGATCACGTGCAAAGAACCAACATTAAGACTTGAGTACCAAATGCATGTGAATAAAATACATGTTTTGGTCCAATTTTCAGGAACTGCAACTTAATATATGGTCAGCAATTAACAGGATAGTCCAAACAAAAATGAACTCAGCCTCATGTCGTTCCAAACCTAGGACTCTGTTTAATGTCCAAACTTTATATAAATGATATTCTGGATCTTGCTGATTTGTATTGTACACTCTTTAAAATAAAGGTTGCAAAATAGGGTTTTCATGGCTGTGATATGGAAGAAACGTTTTCAGTAAATGGTTTTTAAAAGAAAGGTTATTTATTGGCATTGATGGTTTATTGAAGAACCTTTAACATCCATGGACAATTAATATTGCACAAAAGGTTGTTTACAGTTGAAAATGCTTCTTTAGATTATTAAATTATTCTTCACACTGTTTATTGAAAGGTTTCTTTGGGGAACTAAAAATGGTTCTTCTATGACATCGCTGTGAAAACCCTCTTTTGTAACCGTTACTCTTAAAGGAGTAGTTCACTTAAAAAACTCACCCTCATGTCATCCAAGATGTCCATGTCATTCTTTCTTCAGTCGAAAAGAAATTAAGGTTTTTGATGAAAACATTCCAGCATTTTTCTCCATATAATGCACTTTACTGGGAACCAAACGGTTCAAGGTCCAAAAGACAGTTTCAGTGCAAACTGCAAACTGGTCAAAGGGCTTTAAACGATTGCAGACGATGAATAAGGGTCTTAACAAGTGAATTTTAAGTTTTATAAGCTCAAATGGTCACCATGCTCTGTTATGTGATGCGCGTTTGTGACTCTCCTGTTCAAACTCGTTCATCAAAATAAACAAATCTTTTTCCGATTCGTTCATTTAGTTCGTTAAATGAACAAAATGACACGTAAAAAGATTTGTTCATGTTCAATTGTTCAAGATTTGTTCAATGTTTTCATCAAAAACCTTAATTTCTTTTCAACTGAAGAAAGAAAGACTTGGACATTTTGGATGACATGGGTATCAGCAACATTATTTTTAAAAGTGAACTACTCCTTTAAGAGTGAATTGGTTTGTTCCAATTTATTTTGGAGGTGTTGTGAGGAATGGTCAGCTGGTGACGGTGCTTGGTTAGGTTAAACTCTGCTCTTGATTGATTAAAGGAACTGCCACCACAGGTCATCAGTCACCACTAGTTCCTTCTGCCCGTGGCAGTCATTACCCATGAGCCATGACTGTTGACTGAAGTGCTGTACCACTGCAACACCCCCAAATCTCCACCGGATTTTATCGTGTTGTGCAATAATGGGTTAAAATGTCCAATCAATTCTTTCATACTAGCTCTTTGTATTTCACTTTCAAATGGTTAACACTCATTCACAGACTTTCTTTTTTTCTGTTCATATGGTTTTAGAGTAAAAATACTGGCAGACGCACCTCAGAGAAGGTAAATGGGGTATTTCTGTGACAATTATGCAATTAAGTCATTATGGATGTGCTTGCAATGAGTTGATAGATCCCTTTATATGAGCAGACATTGACTGTAATTACTCCATGTGTCAATGGGTTCATGTTTGTTTTTTGAACTGCGCCTTCACTTGAATAAGCCTTTTATAGATGGGTATCATTATTGAATAAAGGATTCGTATCTTGAGAAATCTTTTGTGATAAAAGAGCTTTATGTACTTACCACTTCCTCGCCAGACCTATACAGATATGTATAGTATGAAAGGAACAAAATGTAGTTTGTTTAAGCAAATGCAATTAGTATTAAAGAGCAAGACTTATTTTACACTTTCAGTATTCTTTAGTGTGTAATTGTGCTTTGTTTTTTAATGCTCAAACAGCAACAAGTCACTCCAAATGGAGTTATTCTCTATATCAAACTGAAACGCCTCCTTTGTAGACTTGAGTTTTCTTCCAGGAACGTATGCATCACAAGATCCCACTTTTAAATGATTCGGTCGAGGCTTGGCTGAGCTGTTTTAGTAGTGTGTTGTCACCATGTCCAAGAGACGCTGTTGTTTTGACTTCTGGGGCCGTTAGTCATTTAGTTTTATTCTTTTAGACTGTCTTCTTTCGTTACTTTTTCCAAGTCTGATAAAAACATGCATGGATTGATCTAATTTGAT